GACCCAATCCCTGCTCAGAGTTGTACACTCTGAGAATTCTGGGAATTATAATCCTAGATCAGAGTTGGCAGGAGAACAATGGTGTCCAAGGGCTTCTACTATCTCTTGACTGGAAACAGCTGGAGTCACATTGATAAACTCACGAGAAAATCCAAGATCCGAGAATAAGTAATACTTACTAAAGAAAGCAGGAAGCCAATACCAAAAGAATGGTAGCAACTAAAGTTACAGGTAGCCCTTAGTTTATGACTATAACAGAGCCTGCTAATTATGGTCATAAGTCATAACAGTTGTAAAACAAACCACCCATATGACTGACCTGGTTTTACAACCTTTTTTGTGGCGGTTGTTGAGTAAACACTACAGTTCTTAAGCAAACCTATTGTTCACTATGGGCATTTTTGGCCAAAACAGGATTAAACACTGTTTTTTGGCAAAAACATCGTACATTGTGTTAACATAAGTAAGTAATGTGAGTATAGCTACAAGTAGTTGTAAATGCAGGGTGACTGCCAAGTACCCAAGATGCAGTCATGTGACTGTGAGGGCAGATACCCAACCATGGGACTTTGAAGCCAAGTTGGAAGTATCTTTCAAGGGGGAGAGTTGACACTTGAAACAGTTGCTAAGTGAACAATCTTGTCAAGGGCTATCCATGTAGAAAAATTATCTTTTTTAAAATAAAAAGAGGTTCCTATGATTAGTTTTTCATTCCACCTTAGCTAATGGCCTACTTGGCTCCCTTTTTTGAGTGGGTTGGCTTGTTTAAATCTGGCCTTTGCTTGTGATAGACTCTAATTTGCTCTTGTTTTTGCCTGGCCCTATGAAAATTGACACAGTTTTGGAACAAGCGCCACAAAAGCCACAGGTTCATGATGTATCCAACTATAGGTAGTTCTCGATTTATGACCACAATTGAGTCCAAAATTTCCATTGCTAAGAAAGGCAATTGATAAATTGAGTTTTGTCCAATTTACCTTTTTTTGCCCCAGTTGTTAATCACTGCACTTGTTAAGTGAATCACATCGTCATTAAGCAAATCTAGCTTCCCCCATTGATTTTGCTTGTCAAAACTTGGCTGGGAAGGCTACAAATTGTGATCACATGACCTCAGGATGCTGCAATCATCGTAAATAGACCACCAATAGCCTCTCACCGCCCAGTACGCTCCCATAGAGAGGGGCTTCTCAGGGTGCCGTCAGCCAAACAATGTCGACTGGCGGCCCCCAGGGGGAGAGCCTTTTCTGTGAGGGCACCCACCATCTGGAACGAGCTCCCCCCAGAGATACAGAAGATTCCGGATCTGCGCACTTTCCGCCGTGCCCTCAAAACATTCCTGTTTCAGCAGGCCGGCCTGGCCTAACTTTCCCTTTATATTGCTTTTTGATTTTATTTTAAACTGGGATGTCTTGAATTATCTAGGACCAGAGTGTTTAGTATATTTTAATTGGTTTTTTTTTTTTATTAACGTTTGTATTACATGTATTTTTATTGTTCGCTGTTCACCGCCCTGAGTCCCTTAGGAATAGGGCGGTATATAAATTTAATAAATAAATAAATAAATAAATAAATACATATCCATTGTCAAGTGATCAAGTGATCATGTGATCATGGAGATGCTGTAACTGTCCTAAAGTGTGAAAACTGATCGTAAGTCACTTTTTTCCAATGCTATTGTTTGAATGGTCACTGAATGGAATGATTGTAAATTATGAACTATCTGCAGTCATAATTTCCTATCCTTGCTCTGCATTTCCTTCTGACAACTCCCAAGATTCCTTGCTTCCTGGCCACATTGAATGGGGTTGATTGGAGTTGGTTCAAAATATCTGGAGGGCAACATCTGCTTTCCCAGAATTTAGGGCAAAATGGCCTTTCAGGCAGAGTTAAATCTATAGTGTTTGGCCTTTCTCTTTTTAGGAATGTGTAAAACATCTCAGAAGTTTTTTGTCCTAAAGGCTGTAATAAAGAATTGTTGGAAATCTCAGATTAGCTCAGAAAATACATTCATCTTTTATTGTACCTTTATATTCAATATTTAAAATAATATTTCTATTGCCCAGAGTCACTCTGTGAGGGAAATGGGCAGTTTCAAAATATGATAAATAAATAAAATATGATATATAAATCATAAGAAATCCTGAATGAAAATTTATGCACAATTCTAAGTCACACAATCATTGACTGGAGGGAGAAATTACGAGTGTACCTTGTGTCAGGAAAACTATGGTTTTGTTTGAATTTGCCCTGGTTTTTTTGATAGGTTCACTACTCCTGAAGAAGAATATGGTATACTGCAACCTCCAGTGTTGGAGTATCCATAACTTCTGGATGTAAGTCTTTTCACTGATTAATTGTTCTAATTGTTCCTGTTGTCAGGAAATTTCTCCTTAGTTCTAGTTGTTCTCTCCTTGATTAGTTTCCATCCATTGCTTCTTGTCCTGCCCTCAGGGGCTTTGGAGAATAGGTTGACCTCCTCTTCTTTGGGGCAGCCCCTTAGATATTGGAACATTGCTATCATGTCACCCTTATTCCTTCTCCTCATTAAATTAGATACACCCAATTCCTGGAACCGTTCTTGGTATATTTTACCTTGCAGTCCCCTAATCATCATGTTGCTCTTCTTTGCACCCTTTCTAGAATCTCAATATCTTTTTCTAGCTGCTTACTCGGGTTTTTAAATTTTGTGTATTTATGTATTTTATTGTTGGCTGTTCACCGCCCTGAGTCCTTCGGGAGTAGGGCGGTATACAAATCAAATAAACTAAACTAAACTAAACTAGGCAGTTGGCCAAAAGTCCTGGGTTACAAGAATTACAGGAGTTGTGGACCTCCAGCCACTAGGGCGCCAGGTTGATGAAGGCTCTTGTTGAGTCATCAGCTGCCAGGAACAACTTCTCATAGGGAACATCATGTCCTCCAACAAGGACAGAAATATGCAATAATAGAGAAGGCAATATTTTCCCAGCAGTTTTGCTACCAAGAGAGTAATAAAAAAAAATGGGAATGTACAGTAATCAGCAAAAGAGCTTTCTTGTGTCTATCTGCTCATTTTAGAGGTACTCTGTCTTTTAATAGGAGCCATTCCAAAGAACAATCATTCCTGCATAGATTCTGCAGAATTTGAAGGCAGGTACTGCAGTTGAGCTGCCAGCTGACATCTGGAGAAAGTTGGCTCAGATTAAGCCCTGGAATAATTTACAACCCAATGGGGAGGGAGTTTCTTCCCCTTCTTGTCTTCAAAGGCAAAAGGTCCCCTCTATTTTAACAATGGTAAATATGTCAGAACTTAAAAAGCATCTACACACTTCTAATGTTGCTTCATTAAATAGGTGCCCCTGAATCAGAATGGCTGTGCTACAGGTCACATAATTAACTTTCTGTACCAGCTGTATTGTTATTTGAGTCTTGGGGCTCAGCACAAAGGACAGAGGTTCTCCAGTATTCTTAAATGGTGAGTATATGGCATGTAATAGAAGGGGGGCGGGGGCTTTCATTCCATAGACATGGCCACCTTTTTGACTTTTTAAAAATATTTCATTCATTCACTGCAAATGAATTGGTTGCATATCCCACTTGTCATTTAAAGCTGAACAAAGGGAGGACCAATACAGAGCAGCAGGCAACTGGCATAAGAAATGCTTAGGGCTGATCAAGGTATTATGCATAATGAAGCAGGTCCCTAAACCAGAATGTAGCTAGTTTAAAGATTGTAATAAGGCCTTAAATTCTTTCTCATTCATTTGTCCAGCTAATTTACAATGGTGGAGTTTCTGATGATGTTACCTAATTCGGTAATGAAATGTCAGGAAGAAATCCATCAAGCTCAAAGAACACCAATCATCCCACAGTTTAGAAGAGAATTTACAAATTCTCTTCTATTGGTAACTTAGAATACCCTATGTTATAATTGAGAAACTATTTATCAGCGAAATATTCAATCATGCTATATGGGGGAGGAGGGAAAAGAGAAATAAATTTGAGCCAGAATTCAATAATAAGATGAATGTACTTCTAATATAGGGCATGTCTTAAAGCATGTGAAAGTTTTCATATAAAAAAAATACTATTTTGGGGCAAGTGGCAACAGATTTCTTTTTCAATACTAAAGAAATCACCATAGTCACAGATAATGCTAAATAGTTTCCAAGATCAAATGTTGATTTCCAAGCATGTTGGAATCCACATGAGGAATCTTAACTAGCTCATAGGTAGAATATATAAACCGTATTCAGATAATAGTTCTCCACACTAAACTGAACTGTGATTTATTTAATTAATTGAATTTTAATGGTCTACCAAAGACTTTTAACTATGAACTGTTATCAGGGCTGATTTGGTATTTGCAGCTTTCCTTTCCAGATACACCAATAGCTCATTGCCTATTAATGTGAATAGCTTTGGGCTAGATGTCCCAATGTTCACTGAGCTATGTAATAATAAATACTAAGAATAAAAAAGGAAGAAGAAATAATGTTTCTTATATACCTCCCCATTTGACAAATTAATTATTGGGGATGTGCATCAGATTTGAATTGAAGAAATGCTAAGAATGTTGTTCCTATTTTACCTCTGCCCTAACACACAAACAATTGCCTTAGGGACATGTTTGCCCTTTGAAGTAGTCCAAATAAGAAGCGCAACTATTGAGTACTAACTTTACCATTATTGTAAGATTACATTTAGAGAATCCTGCAAGTCTGAAGGTATTTCTCTTGTCCTTTACTTTTACTTCCTGGAAAACTAGGGAGAATCTCTTCTGAAACCCTACTGTGGGCTGAGCTACCTTTTGCATGACTGTTATCTAGTTTGCATTCTTCCTGTTGTTTCTCAGTCATTCTCACATACCATTACAGAAAGTCACATCTCTCTCCCTCTTTCCATATCCACAATAACTTTGCATTTACTTACAAGGTATCATAAATAGAAAATGCAACATACTTGGAAGGAATACCCCAATATTAAATTTACATGGGTAGGCACCTGATTGCATCACTTACCCGTGGTTTCAACAATGCCTTCAAGGATTACGACAATTTCAAACTGCTCGCTCCTTAGGGATCTTTGCGAGAGGGCAAAAAAAGGACTCTTATCACTGATTTCATGACAGATGGTTAGAGGAGAAACGAGGAACAGTTGGTCGGCCCCAGTTCCAAATCCAACATCAAGCTCACATTGGTCTAGTGGCAAGAATTCACCTTCTGGTGTCTGTCGTGACTAAAGATAAATGGAATGAAAGAGAAATAATTTCAGCAAATTAAGAACTAATTTTGCAGCATAAAAAAGGGAGGGAGCTCTTTTCAGTAATATTCAGAGCACTTTGCAGACTGCAGAGGCTTGATAAAAATTAACTTGAGAGATGTTAAGATAGAACTCAATGGAAAAATGGATTTTATTGGGACAGATGTAAAGTCAGCCCCTTTCCACAATTTACTGAGCAGTTGGGATCAGATTTCCCATGAGGCCTGATCCAAGACAGGATCCATTCCTCCAATCACAAGTGGTAGGGCACATCATCATCATCGTCAGCCATTCAGTAGTGTCCGACCCTTGGCCACTCTATGGATAAGCAATCTCCATACTCCTCAGTCTTGCACCATCTCATTTAGATTTGCCATGGTCATTCTGGCATTATCTTTTATAGTGTCCAGCCAGAAGATACTAGGGCGACCCTTCTCCTTTTTCCTCTGATCACTCCCAGCATGATTGACTTTTCGAATGAATCAGCTCTCATAACATGATCAAAGTATGACAGCCTCTGTTTGGTGATCTTGGCTTCATGATATTTTTGGTGAGGTAAAGTGATAAGTGATAATCAGATCACCTATAAACAGGCATTCCTGTGGATTGTCTAATTTGGTCCCCAGTGTTCTATACCCCTAGTTGTTACATGGATTAAAAAATTATGGTTTCCAAAATCATTTAATTCCAAGTGCTTTGAGAAAAAAATCTATCAGTACATCTATTCCAGTCTTCCCAATTTCAAATGCCCTCCAACTGAATTCCCAGGTCGAAATTCCCAGCAAGGACACATACCAAAAATACATAAAGATCCTCAAGTTAGGGAAAACATGAGTTAGATACATTCATTTCTGAAGTTACCAAGCTCATCAGACCTCAGCTGAGTAGGTCATGACAGTTTATCCTCTCTTCAGATTTGAAAGAACCTGTCAACGTTGGTCCTAGTGGGTTGCTGCCTTGCGGAGGGGAAAGGCTGACATTACATGTAGGGGTAATTATGAGAGTTTGCAGCAGCAAAGTTGAGATGATTGATTTTAGGATGGCATTTAGGATGGCAACCTCAACCCTGTCTTCAGATGAGCCACTTCCAGCAGCATGAGCTTTAAAGCATTACCGTAAGTACAATTAAAGGTAATAAGAACAGTTGGGTATTGTAGTTTAGTAGCAATACCCATAGTTTGCTGACAAAAGATCTTCTGCACCATCTCATTAAAAACAAGAGGAAGTTAGCTGAATGAATAATTTCTGACTGAGATTTCAGAAGGGCATGGTCATAACAGCCAATCATGTGTAGGTTACATCTATTTGCAACCCAGATCTGGTAGCCCTCACTTAGGGAAATTCAAAAGGACAAAGAAGTGGAAGATTCAGTTACAGCAATATTTCTCAATGGCAGCAACTTTAAGATGTGTTGACTTCAACTTCCAGTATTCCAGCATGCTGGCTGGGAATTATGAGAGTTGAAGTCCACACATTTGAAATTGCTGAGGTTGAGAAACACTGAGTTATAGCATAACTTTATGTGTTCATTTGATTGTAAATTCTGGGTTTTAAATGGGATTACAAACTGGGTATAGCATTTGCCGGCCCTGTGCTCATTGGTAGGACTAAGCAAAGGTTACTTTCAGGCTGATCTTGGAAAAATGCCTTTTTTGCAGAGACAGCTGAAGTGGCCTCTTTGCAGATCAAGTATAGGATGACAGGGCAACCATAAAAGTAGCCTTTCCCTCCGGGACAAGTAGACATGTTTTGCTCAACCATGGTTTACAGATAAATCATACTGCCTGAATTCACACAACAAATTAAAGAAAACCCACAATAATACAGACCACATGGACCGGATTATCACAATTTGCACATCTGTACCTGTTTTTCTACGGCATGCTAAGAAAGATTGAATTAATCTTATTTGCACAACATTGGAAAAGTAAGGAAACACCTACGGAAGAAGATATAATTTAAAAAATATTGGACTGTGCAGAAATGGACAGATTAACACTGAAGATAAAAGAAAAAGAAGACACAGAATACTTTCAAACTTGGGACTTATTTTATCAATGGTTGGACAACAGAGGTAGAAATTAAGACTTTAAAATGTAAACAAATCAACCCGCAGTTTTAAACAGAGCAGCTAATGCTTCATACCCAACAGTTCTTTTTTCATCTGTTTAAATAAAAGGACTGGGCTTACATTTTATGCTAAACTATTTTATGCTTTTATTACTGTTGAGTCACTCATCTGTGCCACACAAATCCAGACACCTATTGGAAATCATGTCTGCTATCTGTGAGTGTCTGGATTTTCGTAACCCAAAACCAGAAACCCTATTTGTTACATAAACCACAGCAGGCTACATTCACAGACCATACATTACAGTTAAAAAACATTATGGATGTATTTGCAATACACCGCAAAGCTAAAGCTAGTATAATCTCCTGATATGTTGTGTGAACCCTCTTTTGAGCATTTTAATGACCTCATAAGTTTTTGTTTTTTTGTTTTTGCTTCATTGATATATTTTCCAAGCATCTAAGGAAAATTCTCCTTTGGGCTCCCTCCCTCCCAACTCCTTTTTGCCACTCCACTGAGTAGAAAAATCAATCACAGTAAGCCATAATGTGTTTCTGTCTGCTTTTGACTTAGTGCAATGAGTAAACCCAGCCATTCTGGCTATGAATCAGGGTATATTGCTTATTACACATAGGAGAATGGCATAGCATTAGGTGCACCCCCTTCAAACCCAGCAGAACTTCAGGTGAAGCTATGAATTATTGGAACCTAATGTATGCCTCCTAAGAGTTAAATACTATTTCTTGTTTTTACAACAATTTTTATTGTTATTGTTGGCTGCCTTGTTTAATAATGTTTTGCCAGTCTTATGAACAGTGAGCAGCTTGGTAGCTCATCTAATCTATAGGCAGGAGCTTGCTCGGTATTGCTTTTTTTGCTCCTAATGCAAAAAAATAATAATTACTGAACAGATGTGAGATGTGCCTGCTTTGTTTTATGATCTTTGATTAATACCACAACCCATGGTTTAATGCAATTTATGAATGAAGCCTTCTTTGGAAAGATCTAGCTTCTCCATGAGAGTGATTGAAGAATTTGGGTGGAAAACGCTCTCTGACACCTGACCATCAAAAGCCTAACCTCAGAGCCTTTTCAAGATATGATAAGACATCCCAGGTTACTACTAAATAGAACAAGGAGGAACAACTCTTGAGTTGCTACATATTTAGGAAATGCAGAATTGGAAGGCTGGAAGAAAGCATTAAATCCTAAAATCATTTAAGGCCAAAATCCGAAATGATTAATTCTTATTTTCTCCATACTGTTATGGAGTATATGCTGAAGCGAGGTACTGTTATTTAGCTGGTTGCAGAAATCTAGAATGCCGTGAAATATCAGCAGGGCTATTGTGCCTATTTGCCATCATTGGTGATCTTATGGGTTTTTTGTAGCCCAGGTATTTGCCTAACTTGCAAATTTATTTCTTTACAGGATCTGAACTATAAGATAGGAGAGCTAGCTGAAAGATGTGTCTTGCTTGAAACCCAGCATTTCACTTTCTTTTAGAATCATTTATTTGAGATAGAAAAGCTATAGCATTGCTTCTCAAACTGGGCAATTTTAAGAAGCATAGACTTCCAACTCCCAGAAATGATGGTTGGCTAGAGAGCTCTGTTCATACAGCTTAAAATTGCCATGTTTGAGAAACACTGAGCTGTAGTTAGCCTGAGCTGACAGACTGGCAGCCAGTACAATATCAAAACCATACTTTTAAATATATTCCAGAGCATAACACTGATCTTGACCCAACTGGCACAATGCCTATGCCACCTCAACTTTTCCTTAAAAGGTAAAGGTAAAGGTTCCCCTTGCACATATATGCTAGTCATTCCAGACTCTAGGGGGTGGTGCTTATCTCCGATTCAAAGCCAAAGAGCCAGCGCTGTCCGAAGAAGCCTCTGTGGTCATGTGGCTGGCATGACTAAACACCAAAGGTGCACGGAACGCAGTTATCTTCCCACCAAAGGTGGTCCCTATTTTTCTACTTGCATTTTTTACATGCTTTTGAACTGCTAGGTTGGCAGAAGCTGGGACAAGTAATGGGAGCTCATCCTATTACGTGGCACTAGGGATTCGAACCGCTGAACTGCCGATCTTTTAATCGACAAGCTCAGCTTCTTAGCCACTGAGCCATTGCATCCCTTCAACTTTCCCTTAAGAACTGTTAAAGACACAGGAAAGAAAATATTCCAGATCATTTTCATTTACTCTGGAATGCTGGGTATTAGAAACTTGATCCTTACGTTTACTCTGGCATGTTAGGAACTAGAAACTTGACTTCTAAAAACTGAAATGCTCAGATTGCTCAGTTCAGCTGGGAAGGAAAAAATGCACCCCCTATCTTGCATTTGACCTTCAAATGCCACCATTGGAATCCAGCTCTAGGAAGTGCTGAGATGCCTGCTGTGCCAACTACCACAACTTGCCTGCTGTCAAAAGTCTCCAGCACTCACCAGGGATTGCATCTGATAGTCAAAGCACTTGGTTTGGACTGGGGCCACAAGTCAGAGAACAACTCGTTCCAACACGAGTGACAGCTTGAGGCACTTCCTACTCTTGTGCCATGGCTACAGCAGAATCGGGAGGAAACAGTTCTTGCCAGGAGGAACAAGGGCTGGCTAGCTGCAGATTTCCTTCAAATGCCACCCTCCAATAAGAGTAGACCTTGGAATTCATCCTGAGTTTTGTGTGGCTGATTCAGTTTGCAAAAAAAAAAAAAAAAAAAAGAAAAAGAAAAAAAAAAGAAGAAGAAGAAAGAAAGAAAGAAAGAAAGAAACCACATTCAGTTTCACACCTTGAAAGGTGTGACCCCGACAAGATAATTCTTGTCATGGGGAAGGATGAGATAAAAACGTTATGCACTGCTACAAGTATCTTGTATGCCAAAATAAAAAGATAAACAGTAACACAATATTATTAGCATTACCCTTTATAATAATCGGCATACTTTTATTACAGGACATAGACCAGCATAATGCTTTGAGAATGCCAGTGTTCTTCGCATTCCATTAAACGTTTTTATGGTGGGATGCTATTTGTTGTTCTATGGGATGCATTTTATGACCAAAATTTGATGCGAAATGAGTATGGACTGAAACAGAGGGTCAGTTTATTGCCATTGAAAGTAATAGGACGTCATCACTAACTGATCTTATTGGTTTCAGTAGGGCTTAATTACAGCTAACTATTTAAAATACAAATATATATATATGTGTGTGTAGTGAAGAGTGATGAACCGGTTTGGTGTAGTGGTTAAAGCATCAGGGTGGAAACTGGGAGACTGAGTTCTAATTCTGCCTGAGATTAAAGCCAGTGACTTTCTCTTAACCCTAGGACCGTGATGGCGAACCTATGGCACACCTGCCAGAGGTGGCACGCAGAACCCTCTCTGTGGGCACACACGCCGTCACCAGCTGGTCTTTGTGGGTGCTGGAGCGCCGAAAACAAGCCTGAAAACAGCCCCCAAAACATCCCAAAAACAGGCATGTGCACGCCAGCCAGCTAGTCTTCAGGTTTTTGGTGCTCCAGGGCGCGTGAAGACCAGCTGGTTGGTGTGCAGGAAACCCGAAGACCAGCTGGCTGGCAGGCGCATGCGTGCCGGCCAACTGATCTTCGGGTTTCCAGCACTCCGGCGCATGTGCATTCCAGTTTGGGCACTCGGTGCGGAAAAGGTTTGCCATCACAGCCCTAGGACGTAGGCAAGGGCAAACTACTTATTGAAATCTTGTCAGAACAACTACAGGGACAAGTCCAACTACAGGGACAAGTCTAAGAGTCAAGACAGACTCAAAGGAACAAACAAACAAAAAAATCAAGAACGAACCCCATGTAGTTCACCAAGATTCATCATGGAATTTAGTATGTCAATAATTAACTTGCAATGAACAAGAAACGGGTAACCATTAGGGCCTATTAGAACATGTGAAGAGATAGTCTTCAACTTATGACCAGAATTGCCATTGCAAAGCACAGTAGTGGTGAAATGAGTTGCACCCAATTTTATGACTTTTTTTTTTGCCATGGTTGCTAAGCAAATCACTGCAATCATTAAGTGAATTATATGGTCATTAAGTGAATCCAACTTCTCCATAGACTTTGCTTGTTGGAAGCCAGATGGGAAGTTTGTGAATGGCGATCACTTGACCATGACACGTTGCAACTTTTGTAAATGCATTCCCATGGTCAAGGGCCTGAATTTTGGTCAAGTGACCATGGGGATGCTACAATGGCCCTAAGTGTAAGCATTGGTTGTAAGTCACTTTTTTCAATGCCATTGTAACTTTGAATAGTCACTAAATAAACGGTTGTAAGTCAAGGATTATCTGTACTGTAAATCTGGACCACTTATAATAGAAATGTAGAAAAACAAACTTAGCAGGTTGGACCCAGACTTAATCAGGAATTCATTAGACTTAGTTTTCATTGATTCCAGTTCTATTACTAAGTAGTGGTAAATCAACAACTCACATCATTTCTACATATGTTACAGGTGACGAACTCTGATGACAGAATTTATGGGGGAAAGGATACTTAATTGTGTGTGTGTGTATGTGTGTGTGTGTGTGTGTGTGATCCATGTATTATTACAATTTGTGCAAATATTTTATAGATTATTAATATCATGCATGGGAATTAATGTCCAGATTTTTCTATGTCACTGTGGTTTAAGAGTATTCAAAATTCAGTATTTATTGGCTTGCACTAGGCTCTGGAAAGATATTATACCCAAGTTGAAAGCTTGAGAGTGTAATTAGTGTTATGCTATTATCATTAAAAGAAAACCCTAAAGTCCCTTGAATTGTCAAAGGTCAACATTTCTACTGATGCTTTCATTAAGTAGGGTTATTTTTATTACAGTCAACAATCAATTTATATGCTTTCTTTTAAAATGTTATCTGTCTTTTTTTCATCTGGGAATAGCATGTACTCAGCTTGATTTTCTGAAAAATATCGAGGCAGCAGAAAGTGTATCCAGATTATTATAAGAACAAAAGCAGCCATTTCTGTAATGCTACAAATTCCATTCAGCAATAACTGTCCACCATTATATTTATCACATACACCTCATTTGTACATCAGTTGTAAAAACTGTGAGCTTAAAAACAGACCATCTTTTTACAAGTTGGAAGAGAGACCTAAACTATAGGAAAATAAGACACAAGAAGTACTTATGTTGCTGTCTGAGGACATAAAAAAATATCAAAATGGAGAGAGGCATGATTTGTACCTAGTTGTTTTTAGTTAATTGGAAGTCATCCTGCTGAAGATTTCAAGTCTTGCTAGCTTCTGAAATGGGGACTATTATAACTTCTTGTGTCCACCCATGTTTGCTTTGTACTGCATAGCACAGGGCAGGAAAAGATTAAATCAATATAGCTGCAGATTTTTTTTTGTTCTTTCTGTTTCTTTCTCTGGGGGCTCCTCTTTGCTTTCCAAAAGCAGCTGCTCTAGACGCCCCTTGTCTTCACTGTAGGGGCAATAAATTGCTTACAAATATCAGAATTATTTTAATTCTTTTCTTCTTTTCGGTTTGGAAAGAAGTTCATTGCACTGAATTGTTTTATTGCTATACAAGTAAATAATAGTTACTCTACAGCTTGTTATGATGATGATCTGTCTGACAGGTTCTGCCATAAGGGTATTATTTGGTAATCTAGTGCTGTCTTCATTTGATTTCTCAGGTACTGTAGATTTATAACTGACTGGCTTGGATGTAGTTTTAGACTCTGGATGTTTAACACCTTCTTCTTCTTTAGATGGTATTGTGTGGAAGCCTACATTTCTACCTCAAAGCCCCAGCCTAATGTTAGTTCAGATAGGAAAGTTGTTTCTTTCATGCTACATGAAATTATGACAAAGAGGAAGTATATTTTGAATTCCTCGCTGCCAAGGGCAGACCTGCCTGCAGAGGTAAGAAGGTATTCATAGGTAGGAAATATTCAATTCCAGGGAATACAGAAAGGTATTCACTGTGTTTGGTTCCCTGCCCATCGCGTTTTCAGTGTTATTTTTCCTCCTGGATGCTGTTCTGAATAGTGTTTGCTCCTGCTGTGGTAGAGTGATCCTGACCTGGAAGAGAGTGGGCTGGGTGTAAATTGATTTGGGTGAGGGCTTCTATGTTGAACAGATTGTCAGGGATGGCAGCTCTGGCAGTAGCACCAGTTGCCAGCAGGAACGGAAAGGCCTAGAATTAATTTTCTTCAACTGGTGGGATCAAAGCAGAAAACACTGGCCATTTATTGGCACTGCAGATGTGCACCAGCCAAGGCAGCAGAGGAAAAGTCGAAAGGCATACTGCATGTGCTTAAAGACGTTCTTCTTTTTAGCATGTTTTCTCTGTCTTTCAGAACTGGCTTTATAAACATTTTGGACTAAGCCCTTGGTTAAATCAAGCAACACAAACTCAAAACTCCCAGAGTCCCTCGGGAGTTGGGCGGCATAGAAATGCGATAAAATAAAATAAAATAAAATAAAATAAAATAAAATAAAATAAAATAAAATAAAATAAATAAAATAAAATAAAATAAAATAAAATAAAATAAAATAAAATAAAATAAAATAAAATAAAATAAAATAAAAGCATAGGGCATTTGTGATGGAACCTTAGCACGTTCTCCTAATTTTTATTTGCATATTAACAAAATTGATAGGCTACTCAATAGCAAAATTCACCAATGGCTTACAGCAGCTCAGATGTACTTGCAAAAATTCAATGACATTTTCTAACTTGATTGCTTATTGAATGTTTGCTGGGTTCTGAAGTTCGTTCGTTTTTAAAGAGAGAAGTTGTAAAAAGCTGGTTATTGAAATTTATAAAATACACCCTGATCCTATGAACATTACTGGAAACAGTTCCCTAATAAGTGCAAAAGGCCACAATTGTAAAACTGTAGTCTCTAGTTATATCCTCAAAATTAAATATCCAAGCAAGATCTGGAAATGTGTATGTTTTACCAAATATCACAAAGCGTATATTTTAGTAGTAGTGAACATTTATTATCCTTGGGGCGTCTGCTACAACTCCCTAAGCCTATTTCAGCATCTTTTTTAGAACCCATTTATTCTTGGTTTAATATCTACTGATGTGTATTATTTATTCAGCAGCTTTCCTTTGACACCCACTATTATGTATGAAATATGCTTGCCTTCTCCAATAGCTCTTTGTTCCTCCTTTGCAGAGAGGGAAAAAAAATAAATAGCCTTAGAACAGGAAGCTAGATCTGAAGCTTTAAGACAGGGCTTTGCTATACCCTAGAGCAGAGCTGCCAAGATCTGCATGCAAGAAGATAGGAAGAATCTTACCCGCCATGAGCCTCCCTCCCTTCCAGGGAATCCTTTCACCCACCTTAATGAGTTTGCAACGGATCTGAGCTGAGACCATGTGGCTGTTGCGGAGGTTGCCCACCCGAAACATAAGGCAGAGTTTTCCATCTCGCTGTGAGATGACAGCAGCCCGGCTAAACATTAGAGTTTCAGCACGTTTCTTGGGTTGGGACATTTTGATGAACATGCATCCGATGAGGAAGGCATCTACCACAGAGCCCAGCAGGGACTGGAACAGAAAAAGCACAATTCCTTCTGGGCAGCGCTCAGTAATGTAGCGATGACCATAGCCAATGGTGGCTTCTGTCTCAATGAAGAAGAGGAAGGCTGAGGGAAAGTTGTAGACATTAGCCACACATGGGTTATGTCCTGAACTGGGGCTCTGGTGTACATCTAGGTCCCCACGCAAATACGCAATTCCCCACCACATGGAGGCCATCACCAGCCAAGCAACAGTGTAGGTCAGCAAGAAAATGAGAAGGTTCCAACGCCACTTGAGGTCCACCAGAGTGGTGAAGAGGTCAGAAAGGTAGCGACTGTTCTCACTGCCCAGGTTGCCATGCTGGACATTACAGCGCCCGTTCTTGTCTACAAAGCGCTGCCGTTTCCGATGGAATGGTGCAGCCACCACTGCCTGATAGTCATCACCAAACTTTCTTCGCACAACCGACATCCTGACGAGAAGGAGATTTCCTTACACTCTTTGTGGTTAGTAGTAGAACGAAGGCTGGTCTCAGTGTGGAAACTCTGTTGTTTCATGCAAGGGGCCCAACATAGGCAATCATTAGCAGAGCAGACGGTAGATGGTGGCCTCTTCCACTTGGCGTGGGCAGTTGTTGGAGATCAGTGGAGTTGAATCTAGAGAGGTAGGTCTTTTCTGTGCCGCTGCCTTGGGTAACCGCCAGATACCAGCCCAAATAAAATCCAGATGATTGTACAGTCTGTATTTGATTATTTAAAACATTGTCTTAGGAGAGAATGATGCCAGAGGCACAGAACAAACGCTGAAACACAAGGAAGGGACCCAACCGGTTTGGCCGCTACTCTCTTATGATGCCAGTGGACTGGCACAAGAGCAGGATAAAGTCAGCTTATTGGGGACCTCCCGTTTGCACGTTTTGTGTTGTCGCTGGCCAGCTGTTTTGCAAGGGGTGGCCTCCTTCTGGAATGGCACAGGCTGTCTAGCACAGTCTTTATAAACACCAAGTCTGCAGGCAACCCCAGCAGGAAGCCAGGCTTTGCAGATGTGAGTATGGTGGTGTAGATAGATGCTTTGGTGATGCCCTCTTCGGTTAAGCTCTCTAGCCCCGGGATCAAACTCAGCCAGATTCGTACCTCGTATTGATAACCAGAACTGGAGTGCGGTAACCAGCGGGTGCTGGTCACTCGGGTGCTTGGCCGCGGCAACGTCCTGGATAGAGCCGACGGGGTTCTCCCCAGTTGCAAGAGTAACTGCTGCTCCGGTTGCTTCTTTTCTACGGTGGTTCTCTGCCCGGAATTCCTGAGGGACGCGTGTCCCCCTCTCGTGGATGGAAGTTCCCTTCAGGCGGCACTTGGCGAAGCGCGGGGCTTCCCAGTCGAGTCCCGCGGATTTGAGCCCCGCGACAGCACGGCGAGAGGAAGGACGGCGGTCGGGCGGAGTGAGCGAGCGAGCGAGGAGAAAACCTCGTCTCCTGCCTCTGCCCGAATCCTGCTTCCCCTCCTACAGCCCCTGTCGCGGCGCTCTTGGAGTAGCTCTCTGAAAAACTTCCCCTTTGTGGTCTTGCCCAGCTGCGGCGGTGGCGGCTGCAGCGAGCGACGGGTCTTGGGCAGGCAAGAAATTGGGAGGCAGGCGGTGAACGAATCTCAGGTTGTGGTCGAAAGCTCCGAGCGAGCCCACGCCGCCGCCTAGCGTCCGCTGCCACCGCCACCCACCCGGGACGCCCCTTCTTGCCTCTTCTGGCCGCTGTGGGGTCTCCGCGCCGCGATCATTCTTCCCCCACCGGCAAGGCGCGTCCGCAGCTATCGGCAGCCTCCAGTGGACGTTGGTGGTAGCCGGGCAAGCGGATCCAATCTTTCCGCCCGATCCCCGTGGCTCTCGCTGCTGCTACTGCTGAAGGGATCCCGTAGCGGAGACGGGAGGCGGCGAAGAGCGAGATCCGTGGAGCAGCGGTGAGTCATGCGACCGAACGACACAATGGCTCAAGCCCCGTGCAAGAACGGGAATGGAGAAGTGGAAGGAATCCGAATTACTGTCCGGGTTCTCTTTTTTCCTCAATCCGGTTCTGAGTTGGAAAGCGCAGCGGGAGATGGATAGCGTTCTTCCTTCCACCCAAAGAGTTCAGCTTGCCAGGATCGTGGCCGGAAACCTCTGAGCATGAGCAGAGCAAAAAAGTAGTGGCACTAGAGCTGCCACCTGTCTGAACTTAAGAGGTCTGTGTATTGTCAGTATGTGGATGGGATTTGAGGAAATAGTGCCCTACCAGAGAGAAATGCAGCCGAGCAAAACAACCCCAGACAAGTTCCTGATCTTAACTGTGGTCTCCTGTATTATTTTCTTTTGCCAATCCTTGGTGAAGAGCATCTGCTGAAAGACATTTTTTCCATAGTCCAAGCCAACCCACATCTCCAGCTCTCTAAACCCATGTGCATCATTTTGCATCCCACAATTCCACAAATGCAAGCATCTTTATGCATTTTACAAGCAAAACAAACTGCCATTTCAACAATGCTTTGACAGCCACTATATCTTTCTATAAGAGAGGGGATTATAACATTTGGCAATCTAGTTTTGCTTTTAAGTCACTCAAGTAAAAAGGGCATTAATCGTTTGATCCAATTAAGCTGCTGCTTGAAGAAATGCTTCAGTTCCATTATTTATTCAGTTTTATTCCCTTAAGCATTATAGTTGGATACAATGTAAAATTATTTGGGGGGGGGGAATTCAGCCATTTTTAGAGAAAATAATATTTAGGTGGAGAAAAACCTGTTTTGGTCCATGAAGCGTGTAAGATGTCTTCTAAAGCAGAAGAATAATTTTGCCCATATTAAAGGAACATCTCTAGATTGGAACTTCAAATGAACAATCTAACATTTGTGCAAATATTTATATCCACAAATTTATGACTGTAAGGCTAAGGGCACTTACAGAGGAAGATTGGCTAGAAGTCTTTAACTCTTTCTCCATTTAACTTTCCTGGCCAACATTATTTCCCTAGCCTGTTTGCCTCAATCTCATATTCCAATTTTAAACGCGGATAGGTCTTTGATGCTAGATGTGTAAAATTCTTAGATTCTGCTTTTGCTGGGAAGAATCCATGAGAATAGGAGAATAGGAGGAGCTTAAGCATTTACAGGGAGAGGGAAATGATGTATAATAGGGGTCAAACAGTTGCTTAGGAATACAATGAGATGGGAGTTTGGCAGATGCTTACCCTTTTTAAGGATCCTGCCATATTTCTCTGATGTATTTTTTTTTAAACAGAGAGAAGACTGGTTTTAAGAAACAAAAATGAATTGGTAGTAAGAACGGAAGGTCCCGTTTAGTGATTCTACAGTAATCCTTGATTGCAACCCTTTGTTTAGCTACTGTCTGAAGTTACAACAGCACTGAAAAAGGTGACTTGAACTGGTCCTCGTACTTACAACTATTGCAGCTTCCCCTGTGATCAGAATTCTGGTGCTTGGCAACCAGTACATATTTACAGTGGCTAAAGTGTCCCAGACTGATGTGATCTTCATTTGCAACCTTCCCAGTCAGCTGCCAATGAACAAAGTCAATGGGGAAAGTGGATTCACTTAATGACTGTGTGAATCACTTAACAACTGCAATGGTTCACATTAACAAGCATGGCAAAAAGGATCATAAAATCAGGTGTGACTCAACCACCTCGCTTAGCAATGGAAATTCTGGTCCCAATTGTAAGTTGTAAGGTGAGAACTACCTATATGAATGTTATACATGGATTGTACAGTAAGTCTGCCATTGATCTACGGTTTTTTAAAATATAGTTTTATACATCTTTGTTGTTTTTATTTGCATTTTGTTTATTGTGTTTTGGAGTTATCTTAATTATTGTGAGCCACCCAGATTCACATGTGTAAGATGGGTTGCTACTTAAATTAATTAATTAAATAAATAAATAATAATAAATGAGAAGGAAGGACTCACTGGAGAAGAGCCTAATGCTGGGAAAGATTGAGGGCAAAAGAAGAAGGGGATGGCAGAGAACAAGGTGGCTGGATGGAATCTCTGAAGCAGTCGGCGTGAGCTTAAATGGACTCCAGAGGATGGTAGAGGACAGGAAGAATCCCATGGAGGAAAGTTGTCCATGGGGTTGCAATGGATCGAACACGACTTCGCAACTAACAACAACAAATATCACTATGCATTTGGGTTCTCAAACAACAACACAGGATCTAAACTAACAACAATAAATAAATGACTATGAAAATTAAATGTTGGGCCCTTTTTATGTTTCCCACTATTGCTTATTCATACCGATCTTCTGAATGCAAATTGCTCTGAATGGGTATATATTCTGCGGCACCCCTCATATGTGGGGTGCCGCAGGGATTGGTCCTCTCGCCCCTTTTGTTCCACATTTATGTAAAGCCGCTGGGCGAGATCATCCATGGTTCGGGGTGAAGTACCATCAGTACGCTGACGACACCCAGCTGTACATCTCCACCCCGGACCACCCCAACAATGCCCTTGAAGTGATGTCCCGGTGCCTGGAGGCCGTGTGGTTCTGGATGGGGAGAAACAGGCTCAGGCTCAACCCATCCAAGACTGAGTGGCTGTGGTTTCCGACGTCCCGATATAGTCAGCTGGCGCCATCGCTGACTATTGGGGGCGAATCACTGGCCCCCACGGAAAGGGCTCGCAACTTGGGCGTCCTCCTGGATTCATGGCTGTCTTTAGAAGAGCACTTGATGGCCGTGACCGGGAGGATTTTTCATCAGGTTCGCCTGATCCGCCAGTTGCGTCCCTTTCTAGTTTGGGACTCTCTACACACAGTCACTCATGCCCTCGTCACCTCTAGTCTGGACTATTGTAATGCTCTCTACATGGGGCTCCCCTTGAGGTGCACTCGGAGGCTCCAACTGGCGCAGAGTGCAGCTGCACGGGTGGTTAAGGGAGCAACATGGAGTTCCCATGTAACACCTCTCCTGCGTGAGCTGCACTGGCTCCCGGTGGTCTTCTGAGTGCGCTTCAAGATTCTGGTTATCACCTTTAAAGCGCTCCATGGCTTAGGACCTGGTTATCTACGGGACCGCCTGCTACCACCAAAAGCCTCCCACCGGCCAGTACGCTCCCATAGAGAGGGGCTCCTCCGGGTGCCGTTGGCCAAACAATGTCAACCGGCGGCCCCTAGGGGGAGAGCCTTCTCTGTGGGGGCACCTACAATCTGGAATGAGCTCCCCCCAGAGATACGGAGGAGCCCGGATCTGCGCATCTTCCGTCGCGCACTTAAGACTTTTTTATTTCATCAAGCTGGCCTGGCCTAAATCTTCTCCCCTTTTTAAATGTAAATTTTAAATGTAAATTTTAATTTGTTTTAAATTACGGAGTATTTTAAATTCAGCCAAATTATTTAATTTGTTTTTAATTTATTTTAAATTTTTGTATTTATGTGTTTTATCTTGTGGCTGTTCACCGCCCTGAGTCCTTCGGGAGAAGGGCAGTATAGAAATTTAATAAAATTAAAATAAATAAATAAATAAATATTCTGCTATGCTGGAATGATTCTTGTCAATTACTGTTTATTCCTTTTCTGTTTTTATTTTATCCCAAAAATAGTTAAAGTACAAATTCAAAATTTTTAAAAATTTGTTGTCTTTCAATAAACAACAACAAACAGAAAAAAAACACAAAACAAGACATAAAAAAGTGCATTAAAAAAACCTAACACAGACGCACATTATCCGCCCTAATTGAATACTGATTAATATATTACAACAATATTAGTTTCCCAGTCATGTGAAAAGGGTCCCCCCCATTTTTAAACTACTAAATCTATTTGCAAGTTATTAGCCTGTTATCTATATACTATTTTAATGACAAAGTCGTTAACAAAGAACAATAATAATAAAAAATAAGATTAAAGTTTCAAAACCCTCTGATATTGAAACTGTTACTGAAACTCATAGAAAATTTACCATAGCCAAGTCATCCCAAAAGATAACAGTGATTTGTCTTGGATCAAATATCCATATTTGTTTCTTATGACCATTCCTTATCTATTGTTGTCTGGTTAAATATCATAGGACCAATCTCCAAATCTGTCTACCTTCCAAAAAAGGTCAAGATGAAATTGTTTTCTAGTTAAATGTTATAATTCCATTTCTCAATTTCCTTCAGACTTCTCAAGGAAAGCGAATTTATTGCTTCCGCACTCAATTATTGTTTATTTCTTTACCACAATTGAGGAAATTATGACTTATCACAGTGTATGAACAATGGATCAAGTCTCACATACTGCTTTGGGATATAGAACAAGGATTATCAGTATCACAACAACTGGCCATTAAGGATATGAAAATATCTCACTCTGAACTGAATTAATTTTTCAAAATTCCCTTAGCTTTACATTTTATTTATTTATTTATTTGTTTGTTTGTTTGTTTGTTTGTTTGTTCGATTTATATGCCACCCTTCTCTGGAGACTCAGGGTGGCTTACAATGCGTTAAGCAATAGCCTTCATATTTTTTTGTATATACCTGTTTAGTAGGGCTTTCAGCCCCCCCAAGCGGTGTTCTTTTTTATACAAAATCAATTTATTGCTCCCACAATCCGGGTCCTCATTTTACCTACCTCGGAAGGATGGAAGGCTGAGTCAACCTTGAGCCTGGTGAGATTTGAACTCACAGTAATTGCAGGCAGCTGGCAGCTAAGTGGTACTTAACAGCACTTTAGTCCGCTGCTCCACCAAGGCTCCTAATTATAATTATGTCATGTCATATTATATTTATTTTTTGCTGTATTTTTTCATTTTTTATTGTGTTCTTTTACGTGTTCTTTTTTGTTCTCTTTGACAATGTATGTATCACCATCAGTATTATTTTTGTGCTTTTCCCTTTATTTTTTTGATTATTATTTAAAAAAAAGATATGAAAATGTCCGACTCTAAATTAAATTAGTTTTTCAAAACTTGTCTTGGCTTTACCTATAAAATGCATTATAACTATTTTTCAGCTTAAAATGTCTTAAGAAATCACATTCACATTTTCTCCCACCATCTACTTCCAAAATGTATTAGTTTCTTGCTTGCCAGCAGGGGTCCCAGGAGTATGGGATGAGCCAGGATCCCTCGCTCAATCTAATTTCTTTGCAAATCAAGCCAGCTTTTCCCTGGAGGAAACACTATCAGCAAAAGATCAGATGAATTGAAGGAGACTGAACCTGCTGAGACATTAACTTTCTCCTGTTAACCCTTTGGCGTCACCTGGGTATTCTAGAACCTTTGTAGTATATTTGATTCAACCCTAGAATATCTGGTGGTTCTGTTAAAGTAGCGAGAAACCTAAGCGACACATCTAGCATTAGCTAGGAAGTGCACTGCGACTTCTACCTATCTGATTATCTTTTATTTTATTCTCTTATTTCCAGGATCCTTCTCCACAATCCTGTTCATTGATAAATCAACTAGAAAAATAGAATAAACAGTGGCCAGGGAGATCATCAGTAGAAAAATTTGTCTCGCATTTACTATTTGTTCCCCTACTTCATGTTTTTTCTTGCCTGAAGGGACTGTTTTTCCTCCTCTCCTACCTCATATTCTTAACTCTCCAAATCACCTCTGTCCCTGCATTTTGCCAATTTAATTTCAGATTTAAAAATTGGGCTCTTGTATGTGCCCTTATTCAGTAAAATCTAATCAGTTCTGTTTATTTTATCATACAGTAATGTAGGCATTTTTTATTATGCTACAAAGTATGTCAGTGTTATCATTATGGTTCATCTCGCAGTCAGCCAGATGTTCAGACCTGGATTTGGCATTTTGTTCAGCTATTGAGTCCTTCCCAAGGACCTGGAATAGACAGATCTGGATGTCTGATGAAGTTACAAATATCATTGCAGGATGCAAGCTGTTTCAGGTAAAACTGCCTCTTGTAATTGATGGTGAATTTGTCAATGCCGATGGTGTTCAAGTGGTGCTCCAGTTGTTTTGAGATTGTACACAAGGTACCTATTACTATTGGTTCTACCTTTGCTTTCTTTTGCCACAGTCATTCTATTTCTATTTTCAGATCTTTGTTTTTTTTTTTAATCTTCTCCAGTTCCTTCTCTTCTGTTGCCTCCAGGTACTATCACATTCACTATCCAGTTATCATTATTATCATCATATTCTAAATTGAGGTCTGGCATTAAAAAGCAAGGCTATGGATGCATTGTTATTTTGAGTATAGTACATTAAAGGAATAGACTTCAGAAAATTGAGTAATGACTCAGAATCCCTATTCTAAATGGACCAGTTTGTTAATGAAAAGGACTTGTGAAAGAGAAGGGAAAGATGAATAGCATTTTAGAAAGCTTCCAAATTGGATCAATTCATAATGAGACAAAATAGATACCAATAACATGACTTAAGATTATGGACAAGATCACCAAAAGTATCAGCTGCAAATCAAGTTCTGTTGTTCGGACTTAAGAGGCGTTTAGTGACATGGACTTTTGAATTATGATTTTAAAATTGTGGGGTGGGGAGAGAACCAATCTAAAAACACAGATTTAGAAACCTCCATACTTACAAAGCATTTCCTATTCGAGTGAGAAGCAGTTTGCTCACACAAACTGGGAGAGCAAACATTTGTTCATGTATGGATCTTCTCTCTCTCTCCCTCCTTCTCTCCCTCTCTCCCCCTCTCTAAAAAGGAGAGGGTGAATGGACTGTCTGAAAAAGACTGAAGTAAGTCTTTGCTAAGATTGTTATTACTCTGAACAATTTTCTAATTGAGATTCTTAAATTACAAGTATAGGATGATGATGATCTTAAAACACAGTATGTTTGGGCATATTTTGAGGATGGCTTCTACCCTGCCCCACTGCTGTTTGTAAATCAGGGCAACATAGGCGTGTGTTATAAGCCACAGTGACTTAAATACATAAGGATGCAATAATGACAATTTATTTTACATCATTGGACTAACAATGTTATGGTACCCTTGATGATACTGTCCTCTTATCCCCCCCTCCCCGATCTTGCCTGATGAATTCCCTCTGAGAGAGGGTGCCCTTTAAGAGAACTATGTTACTTATTCCCAAATTAAATGTAACCACACTGATTATGGGTTCAGGGACTAGAGGCAGGCTTAGAAAATTAGTTTTAATTCTGGTGTGTCACATCCCCCTTGGTTTTGAATGTTTATATATTTTGTTCTGTTGTCTTTATTATCTTGCAAGCCTACCTGGAAAAGGCCTCGGCTTGGAAAACATTTAGTGAAATAATAACAGTCATTATCTCTAGATCAGGTTTGAAGCTCAAAGCCATATGTCTTGGGGAAAAAAACTCAATAAAGTGCCCTCTTTCACAAATACTCAAATATACACTTCGAATGTAGTCCAGTGAATAAGAAGCACAAATCCATCTAATAGAGCCACAGAGACTGACTTCGTTTATGTAACTGCCTTCTTTTTTAGGCTCAGATGATTCCCTAAAAACAGATTTGAATGGCAAGATATTGATATAGAGTTCCACATAACAAAATATTACCTGGCTGGTCATGTTGACATTTTTCTAAAAAGTCTTTTGAAGAGAACTTATGGGGAAGTCATTTCAATCTATTTCCCTGCACTCTCTTAGGTGCAAAAGATATGAAAGTTTGTGCATCATATATCTGTACTGTGATGAAAGATTAATTTGAGATTGCTGTGAGATTTCTGTGTGCTTGCATTTTGCTTTTATTCCCAATTTTGGTTTCCCTGTTTCAGCTAAAGGAGAACAAAAAAGAAAAAAGAAAAAAAATGTGTTCTGAGTTTCGTTAGCATTTTCAGCTTTGTTTGAGTCTGAAGATTTTGATTAGGTTGAGCTAAGCTTATTACATTTCTTATTCTTCAAGCATCCCAAAATATTCCTGCTGGATTTACTTGTTGCAACAGGTCATGTCTCTGGAAAGTGCCACCCTGATTTCACTCTTGCTGGATTTATCTATTATACCAAACCATAATGTGATGTTTTGGTTTGGGTATAGCTGCATTATGTATGAAGATAGCCACTGTATTTGAAAGCCAAAGCATATGTTCCAAGACAGGGGTCTCAACCTTGGCAATTTTAAGACTTGTGGACTTTGTTGGCTGAGGAGTTCTGGGAGTTGCAGTCCACAAGTCTTAATGTTGCTGAAGTTAGAGACCTCTGTTCGAAGCTACTGTAACTTGTTCTGCAAATCAGAATTAAAACTAACTAGAGCTTGGCACAATCTGTAACTCAGCTTCTGTTTTTGTGCTAATGAAGTTATTCCCTGTCAAGGAAACGAAATAAATTACTTTATTGATTAACCACATTTTCTTTGCTATCTTGTAATTGTTTCCATAAGCTAAAGATTTTAAAATTGAATCTGACTTCCATTATTTAAATTGCGAGCCCTCATATAGGAAAAAAAAAAACAGATTATGAATTACAGCTCTAAGCCAAACAAACTGTTAGGAGTCGAAAGAAGCACGTGATCTACTCAGGAAACAAATCTAGTATCCATTGCCAGCATTGAAAATTGGTCTGTAATTGGAATGGCTTGTTACAGAGTTCATATCATGTTTTGGAGTGTGTTAGGCAGTTTTTCAAATTTGAAAACTTTAAAAGAAGTGGACTTCAACTCCAGAATTCCCAAATCATCATGCTTCAATTCTGGGAGTTTAAGACCACACCTCTTAAGGTTACCAAGTTTGAAAAACACTGTTCTACTGTAAAGGCACCTCTTTATGCAGAGAATAATTTACTAATCTAATCTGGTAGTCACTGGAGCATGAATGGCTATGACAACAGCATTTAAAAGTGGAAAATGCAGAAATATTTTGGAATATAGAAGGATTTCTTTTCAGAATTTTAAGTAACCAAGTATGCTGCTGTATGAACCTAAAAAACCCCCTATGTTTTCCAAAATAATTGGCTGTGAAAGACAGGGTCATCTTAGAATGAATGGGAACATATTACTATGAACACAACAATTGGCTTTTCTAACCTTCCTGAAAAGTGGGCCCAGTATTGTTTAAATTCAGGATTACCTAATTGTCTTTTGGGTAAATACAATATTGTCCAAGACACACTGTTTTAGGCATTTGTGATTTTTTTACTTCCAATTCACATTAACATACAACACCGTGTTGTCATTGAGCATGGTGTTCTTTGCTAGGATGTGGGTGTTTGTCTGTTGTTCCCTTATATCTTCCCCTATTTCCACCCCCTAAGACATACTGATTCCTCTATTTTGTTTCCAAGGGGATATTTAGTTCATAATCCCATTGGCGCTCATCTGCTGAGTCTGCAACAGCAGGGATTAATGAGGCTTTTCAAGGAGTGTGTTATAAATTTGCATCAAACACTCTATGGAAGGAATTGTCAAAACAAATGGGATCTAACCATGACCGGTTGTTAACATTTTGCATTTGGTTGTCAAATTCGTGATAGATAAGCAGGTCTTGATGGAACGAGGCAATTTGTTGTTTCCTCCTGCAGACTCAGATGCGCTTGTGATTAGACAAGTTCAAGAGGAATTTATAAAGAAGTCCTAGATCAGATGATTCTCTTGTGTAGATGATTCTCTTTTGGAAATACATAAACTGAACAATCAAGTAATGACAATAAATCTAATTCCCTCCCCCCCAAGAAAGTGATCGGTGATTAAAACAGATTGGTTGAGAAACACATAGGTATACCAATAGTCTTTGGATAATTTTAGAAATCCAATATATCTGGAGGGCAGAGTGTTAACGAAGGCTGCTCTAAGAATATACAGACAATATACTCAAGGTTGATATTGTCTTGCTTTGACTAGGATGGAACCTTGCAGGGGGAAAGAATGTAATTAATTGGATGAAAGTTGCAGGACCCTGGAGAGCTCCATACATTCTTGCTTCAACTAGCTTTAAGACTGAAAGTCTTTTTTTATTGTTAGACTTCTATGCTGTCCATCTTGCCAAAGCGACTGGACTTTTGCCCCTTCTTCAACTGCCAATTGGTAAAAGATGAGTCTTTTTAAAAGAGTCAGCCTCTGTCTGTGGCCTAGGATTTTTTTTTTGCCTGCTGGCAAACATTTGCGACTACTGAATATAAGATCCTGAGCCTATAAAGAATGGAAAATTTAGTGAGAACTGGGCAAACTTTTAATGGCTGGGAATTGCTTGTAACATTTTTGGGGAAAGTAGGCACACAGTTGATGCAGTCCATGCAAAATGGGTGGTGCTTGGATTCCCATTTTCTTTTTCATTTTGGAGGAGCGTTTAGGGGTGTTTTTAACTTTATTTTCAGTACACTCCATAGTTGCTGTATTTGTCAAAATGAGAGGACACTGTTAGTTTCTTAATTATTGTGTTCAGAGGAGAGCTAAAAAGACACTAAACCAGAATTCACAGGTTGTCCTTCTCTGACTTAAGGAAATCTGATTGAAATCATGCTGTCTTATATTGATTCCAGCTCAAAGGTTTTAAGCAGTACTCAGCTGACTAGCTATGGGTATATCTGTTTGCGTTATGGAAAGAGACATTCAGATAAGTAAGTTCCATGGCAAAAATGGGCAGAGGAATAGAAATACCTGCTTCTCTTATTTTTTCCCCAAGAAGCCAGCAGTACGTATCATTGATCTTAGTCTTCCTCTTAAAAATCAAAGTATAAAATCTCACAATTTTTCCAGGCATTTGTCAAGTTTGACACTCAAGCAAAAAGACAAGAAAGCATTTTGTCATTGTTTTAGAGGAAAGAAATGCAAAGAAGTTGGACTTGATAGAGGAAAGAAAGAATTGTTGTGGCCATGAACTCAAGACTGGCAACTAATTTTCCAATAAATTCAGACTGGTTACTTTGGATAGATTAATGCTGTTACTTGCAAACGGGGAAAAAACGACAGTTGCATATTTCTTTGCGAGTAGTCTTAGGAGAGACTTTTTAAATGGACAATTCAATCTGCCACTTACAAGGATCTGATACTTAGATTGTACAATTGCAGCAATTGCTAGAAACTAAGGACTGGAACTTTTTGAAGAGATCTGATGAAAGAACAAGACCATTATTTCCTGTTGCTAAAGACCTCAGTGCAGAAATGGAGATCAGAGAGTTGCTCTTAACCTAGAAGTTCCCAGATAAAGAGAGAAACAAGACAAGCAAATTGATAGTTGCTGTGGAAGAACTCTGAGTTGTCCTTTCCACTAAATCTTTGACTATATCTCTCTTGTAACTAATCATCAAGATATATTCCAAGAGACCAGATTGGGAGAAAGAATAAAACCATGAAAATTTACTCCCCCCACCCCAGTAGAAGGGTTCCTTGGTATGGTAACCATTCCAGAAACTGAGGCAATTTGATGCATTGTTCCTCTACCCCTCCCCCACTCAAAACCCAACCAGAATGCTTTCATTGTTGCAATTTGATTTCTGTTTCTTTATGGAAGTTTTGCCCTCTCAGAGAAATTAACCATGTAGCTTCAAATTAAAATATTCTGGAAATTGCTGAATCCAAATGAAATTGTGTTACTCATGCAGTGTATACAGTGCTGACCAGGCAGTAACATGATCATCAAACTAATTCTGCAATTTTTAAAGGGCTTGCAAAAAAAAAAAAAAACCCTTGCCAAATGGAAACAGAATAAACTATTGCATACTTATACACATACAGTATAACATATCATTTCTGGGAGAAGAATTAATTAATTAATTAATTTTCATGGTAGAACAAAAACCAGATTTTTAAAAAAAGTATTATTTTCTGCCAGCTGATTTGAAACAGAAAAGCAATCACAATGAATCCACAATGAAGTTAATACATGTTTATTTGCAGAGCAAATATAAAACAAGCTAGCAAAATTCATGCATGGAAGACCAAGCACAGCGTAACATATTTTAATGTTATAAAGAAAAAGGGCAACTTACAGTGGAACATTTGCTGCTGGGAAGACACCGAGGCCACTGATGTTCTTATCTTATCAGCCAGCTGTAACAAAACAATTGCAAAGATATAAGATGAGGGTAAAATAAATACAACAAAACACTATCCTTAAAAAAAGAATTCAAAGACAAAGATTGCTTTGAGCCAAGCTCAATTTCATGTGATTCCATAGCAGAAACAGACAAATGATTTGTCATTGTTTGAGTTTTTTTGAAAAAAATCCAAATCTAGAATATCCTAGTACTCTCCTATCTAAGCACTAGTCCAAGTGGACCCTGTTTTTTCTTCTTTTGGATCAACTGAATTTGGCTACTATTGTTTGCTGCCATTTGATCCAATACATTGCATCATACATTCCATATCGTATGATATATCTATATCTATATCACTATGCCCCCTTCATGGATTACTGCCTTGTCGTGGCGAAGTACTAGCAGACGGCTAGTACTAGTAGCGCCAGAAAGAGTGAAGTGATTGGGCCAAAGCCAAAAGGACGCTGAGTTGTGGATGCATCTGGTGGTGAAAGGAAAGTCCAATGCTGTAAAGATTTTTTCTCCATAGGAATCTGGAATGTAAGATCCACGAATCAAGGCAAGCTGGACGTGGTCAAACAAGAGATGAACATCAACAACTTAGGAAACAGCGAACTAAAACGGACAGGAATGGGTGAATTTAATTCAGATAACCAAAAGGTATACTACTGCAGGCAAGAATCCCTCAGAAGAAACAGAGTAGCCTTTATAATCAATAGAAGAGTAGGAAAAGCAATACTGGGATACAATTACAAAAATGACAGAATGGTCTCAGTTCGAATCCAAAGCAAACCATTCAATATCACAGTAATCCAAGTCTATGCCCCAACCATTGGTTCTGAGAGGACGAAATTGACTGGTTCTATGAAGCCCTACAGCACCTTATAGAATTAACACCAAAAAATGATGTCCTTATCTTCATGGGGGATTGGAATGCTAAAGTAGGAAGCCAAAGGATAACTGGAATAACAGGCAAGTTTGGCCTTGGAGTACAAAATGAAGCTGGGCACAGGCTGATAGAATTTTGTCAAGAGAATACATCAGCAAACACTCTTTTCCAACAACCCAAGAGACGATTCTATACATGGACATCACCAGACGGTCAACACAGAATTCAGATTGACTATGTGCTCTGAAGCCAAAGATGGAGAAGCTCTATACAGTCAGTAAAAACAAGACCGGGAGCTGACTGTGACTCAGATCATGAGCTTCTCGTTGCAAAATTTAGGCTTAAATTTAAGAAAATAGGGAAAAGCACTAGGCCACTCAGGTATTAACTAAATCATATCCCTGATGAATATACAGTAGAGGTGACAAATACATTTAAGGAATTAGATTTGATAGACAGAGTGCCTGAATAACTATGGATGGAAGTTTGCAACATTGTACAAGAAGTAGCAACTAAAACCATCCCAAAGAAAAAGAAATGCAAAAAAGCAAAATGGCTGTCTAAGGAAGCTTGCAAATAGCTGAGGAAAGAAGGGAAGTGAAAGGCAAGGGAGAAAGAGAAAGATGCACCCAATTGAATGCAGAATTCCAGAGACTAGCTAGAAGAGATAAGAATACCTTCTTAAATGAACAGTGCAAAGAAATAGAAGAAAACAATAGAATAGGGAGGACCAGAGATCTCTTCAAGAAAATTGGAAATATGAAGGGAATGTTTCATGCAAAGATGGGCATGATAAAGGACCAAAATGGCAGGGACCTAACAGAGGCAGAAGAGATTAAGAAGAGGTGGCAAAATTACACAGAAGAACTATACAAGAATGAAGTTAATGTCCTTGATAACCACGATGGGGTAGTCACTGACCTCAAGCCAGATATCCTAGAATGTGAAGTCAAATGGGCCTTAGGAAATCTGAGCAACAAGAAAGCTAGTGGAGGTGACAGTATTCTAGCTGAGCCATTCAAAATCTTAAAAGACGATGCAGTAAAAGTGCTACACTAAATTTGCCAGCAAATTTGGAAAACTCAACAGTAGCCACAGGATTGGAAAAGGTCAGTTTACAATTCCACAGAAAGGCAATGCTGAAGAACGTTCAAACTATCGCACCATTACACTCATTTTACATGCTAGTAAAGTTATGCTTAAAATCCTACAAGCTAGGCTTCAGCAGTATGTGGATCGAGAACTACCAGAAGTACAGACAGGATTTCAAAGAGGCAAAGGAACTAGAGATCAAATTGCCAACATACGCTGGATCATGGAGAAAGTTAGGGAGTTCCAGAAAAACATCTGCTTCATTGACTAAGCTAAAGCCTTTGATTGTGTGGATCACAACAAATTGTGGCATGTTCTAAAAGAGATGGGAGTACCAGACCATCTTATCTGTCTTTTGAGAAACCTATATGCGGGTCAAGAAGAAACAGTGAGAACTGGACACGGAACCACTGATTGGTTCAAAATTGGGAAAGGAGTCCAACAAGGCTGTATACTGTCACCTGCCTATTTAACTTATATGCAGAGCACATCATGAGAAAGGCAGGGCTAGATGAATCAAAAGTTGGAATTAAGATTGCTAGGAGAAATAGCAACAACCTCAGATATGCAGATGATACCACTCTAATGGTAGAAAGCGAAGAGGAACTAAAGAGTCTCTTGATGCGGGTGAAGAAGGAGAGTGCAAAAGTTGGCTTGAAACTCAACATTAAGAAAACGAAGGTCATGGCATTCGGCTCTCTCAATTCCTGGAAAATAGATGGGGAAGAAATGGAGGTAGTGACATATTTTATTTTTCTGGGCTCCAAGATCACCACAGATAGGGACTGCAGCCAAGAAATTAAAAGACGCTTGCTCCTGGGGAGGAAAGCTATGGCAAAACTAGACAGCATTCGAAAAAGCAGAGACATCATCCTGCCAACAAAAGTGCTTATAGTCAAGGCTATAATGTATGGCTGTGAAAGTTGGACCATAAGGAAGGCTGAGCGCCAAAGAATTGAGGCCTTTGAACTCTGGTGCTGGAGAAGAATCCTGCGAGTTCCTTGGACTGCAAGGTGATTAAATCGGTCAGTTCTAGAGGAGATCAACCCTGACTGCTCTTTAGAAGGCCAGATCCTGAAGATGAAACTCAAATACTTTGGCCACCTAATGAGAAGGAAGGACTCACTGGAGAAGAACCTAATGCTGGGAAAGATTGAGGGCAAAAGAAGAAGGGGACGACAGAGAATGAGGTGGCTGGATGAAGTCACTGAAGCAGTCGGCGTGAGCTTAAATGGACTCCAGAGGATGGTAGAGGACAGGAAGGCCTGGAGGAACATTGTCTATGGGGTTGCAATGGATCAGACATGACTTCTCAACTAACAACAAATATCACTATGCATTGGGTTCTCAAACAACAACACAGGATATATGGTACATTAATATCCCCAATGAAAACCCCTTCGATATAATCCCAAGCAATTATTATATGTTTAGCCATAAATTTATTTTAAAAAAATATGGGGACATCACACGTCTTATTCCTGTCATTGTTGAACCACTCTTTAAGAATCCCATTTATTCTCACGTATATATACTTCCATATCTCAATCAGCATCCAATTTTCAGTTTGAGAAGAATACAATATTGTTTTTTTAGAAGTGGACAAGGGTGCTTCAGATCTAGCAGTTCCTTAAAACATTCTGCATCATTTCCTGTCCTATTTGCTACCCAGACCTAGAAAAATACATGTGTTCAGGAAATGTTAGAGCTAGCAAGAGAGTGCAACCACATCTCCTTGTGTTTTTTCCAGATCAGCCCTGAGCAATTTCATAGGCCAATGATGGTGACATGCCATACTATTTTTTGTGACATGCCGGGATTCGCCATCACTGTCCTAGACACTCTCATTCACATGCATGGTTTACTTCTATTATATACTTTTCTTATTGCAGTCAATAATCAACTTTCCATTCTGTATTTCTGTAAAACACCCCATAATTCATGCCTATTCACTTTATTAAGCTATATCAATAAGGATACAAAAAACTTTATTTTGTGCATACATATATTTATCAAAGCAAAAATGGGATCTTTGTACCCTTTGTCCAGCCTTATTGCATTTTCTAAATTTTGCTTCTTGCTACTTCTTATTCCCTTTCACTCGAAATACTACCAAACATCTTCTCAAACCCACTTAACAGGCTAATTCCTCTACGGTTTCTGCATTCACTCTTGATACCTTTTCATTGCTTTCCATTCTTCCAGTCCTCAGGCCATCTTCATGAATATGCTAAAGAAATTGTCCATTCCATAAGCAAACCTATTTATATTTTAATATTTAGTTTAGTTATGCTGCCTATATTAGCAGCCTTGCCATTTTTCAGCCTTCCCACAGCATCTATTACTTCATTTTTTCTCTTAACGTTTATGACATTCATTTTAGTTCCACTCTTTGCTGTACTACTACTATTACCATACAGATCTCTAAAATACTCTTTCCAGCAAAGCCTTACTTATTTCATTCTAAGTTATTTTATCTTTTCTATTTTTAATTTCATTCCCCCTGCTGGAGGCTATTTCTTAGCATCCTAAATGTGCACCAATTCAAGGCTATTCTGCATCATGTTTTCTCTTGTCATTGTGATCTTTCCTTCCAAAAGGTTAATGTGGTTTCCTCCATTATAAGCTATTTGAGGAGAGAGAAAAATAATGGATTTCAGATTGGGCCATTAGCTTTAGAGTTGTTTACAATGGATATGAAGTTGACCAAAACTTTATAGTCCTGGAAATGAGAACCAGGGACCCCTCCAGATGTGTCAATACTACAATTCCTGGCATCCCTCACATATTGGCCCTTTTGAGACTTTATATGGAAAGTCATGAGTCTTCACATTTCTTTGGACCCCTGAATGATGCTGCCTTTGCTACTACAGGGTAAAGTAAGGGTGATATAATGCACAAGAATGGAGTGTGTGCTCAGTCCAGACACATATACCTCTAGCGACATTTGTGTCTCTTCTGTCAAATGTGATGTGGTAAGGAAGTTCAGCGAGCCTGAAGTATAACAACTTTCCTTTTTCATGAAGGATCTGAAGGTAAACTTTCCCTTGAGGTGAGCCTGACTCCACATACCATTTTTGGACAACTCTTGCAGATTTTCAGAGAAATAAACATTTATGTAAAGAGAAAATAATGAAAGAAACAGGGACATTATTGGTCATGTAAAAAAGTAATATCAAACAGTAAGAATGTTCAAAGAGAATTACTGGACACGTTACAGGCAGTGGGATTCTCTGTTCTTTAGATACAATAATCACTCCTTAGTAAAGGAAGCAAATAGAATTCCATGGTTATTAGTTGATTTAGTTGTGTTGTTGTAGAATGATTATATATTTTTGAAGTGTTAAGGGAACAAAGGCAGCTGCAATTCTTGCAGTTTTCGGCTTTTCTGAAGAATGCATAGCCTTGAAGCATGTGTGATTGGTGACCCAGACTATTCAAAAATAAATTATCACTGATGTTATTTTTTGATTATTGGTACTCACTTTTCTTACTTGCAATCAGAAATATTCTGCTCTTGAGCGGACCTGTAGTTTGCTCTTCCCACTAACTCACAGTGTTATGTAAATTTTATTTTATTTTATTATTTTATTTTATTTTATTTTATTTTATTTATTTAGTCTACATATTAAGATAATATGCATAAGTATAAGCATGAATTGAATACATAAAATGAATACAATTAAAGGGAACATTAGGACAGGGACGGTAGGCACGCTGGTGCTTTTATGCATTTATTATTTATTCAGTTTCCCTTTGCATCTTAACCTGCTGCTTTGCTTAGGTCTCACTATTAATGCAAGAACAGAAGCTGGAAGATATGATTCTGTTTTGGCACAGTTTTCATGATATCACAGCCAACCATACTGATGTTTCTGCTTTTCTCTGAAAAGCAAACTTTTCTCTGAAAAGAGCTTTGATGTTGTTAATTATTTCTGATTATGTTGTGGCATCACAAACCAAGTCAACCAACTAATGCTTGAGGCAGCAGTGGCATCACTGCACAAGTTCAATGAGTATAAGTTGTACAGTGGGTTCAGTTGATTTATTAATTTTCCATACATATGTGGTATGGAATTTCAGGACTACACCTTTCCCCAGTAGCCCAGAAAAACCTTTAAAGCTACTTTTAAAAATACATTTACTAATGAAGTTGTGTTTATTTTTAGTGGAAAAAGGAGAAAAATCACACAGGCTATTAACAGTAAGTTGCTAGAATTTTTAAAACTGGAGATCAAATAAATATAGTTTTAAACAAGTCAGTGTCTCCCTCTCTCTGTGTACATAGATAAAATATCAATTACACATCAACTTTTAACATCAATACTATGGTATAAGAACAAAAACTAGTCTCCAACCTTCTTATCACAACTGGTTGTAGAGGGAACCATACTAAACATACCTGGAGGATATCAGATTGTTGAGGACTGTTGAGCTTGTCTTGAAAGGAAAAATGCTATAGGTTTTTCTTGTTTTCATGTCAAGGGGATTCATTAAGTCATTAAGTCACTTAGTTTGAATGGCTGCTAGACAAACCTGTTTCTGTTGAGGATGATAAACTGAGTGGGAAGACGTCCCATCTCTCTATCCCTAATCTTGGCCAGAGACTTCAGTCTATTTTATAAAGAGGAGAAAGTGAAATGCAGAGATGAAGGAGCAAAAAGCCAGGAAGGAAGGAAGGAAGGAAGGAAGGAAGGAAGGAAGGAAGGAAGGAAGGAAGAATTGAAAGGGAAGGAAGAAAACAATTAGCCTCCAAACTCTAAATCAGAACCGTAAATCGCAACCATATGTGGACTTGACTCGGAAGTATATCCCATCGTGTTCAATGAGGGTGATTCCCAGGTAAGCGTGCGTGGGACTGCCGCTAAAGAATACAGTATTTCCAGAGCTATCACCCTCCCACAGAGGAAGGCGCTTGCTTGGCGAGCGGCGAATCTGTTTTGACCGATTGGAGGCGCGACTCCCGAGGGCAGGGAGAGCTAGAAAGGTCGAGCAGAGGCTGCGTGGCCGGCGCTCTCCACCCGGCGTAGAACAAAAGGGGGAGGGCCATACCCGGGAGGGGGGGTTGCCTATTCTTCCACGCACACAGCGCGCAAGTACCTCCGCGAAGCGCATGAGCGAGGCGCGCCCCACGAGACGAGAAGCCCAGCGAGAGCTGCTGGCAGCGGCCGGGCGCCACCCAAAGTGACACGGAGGAAGGGGGCCCCAAGCAAGCGAGCGCGGATCGTCGCTCCTCCTACGGGTAACATTGCAGTGGGATCGGGGCGGGTGTGCAGGCAAGCGAGGCTGCCAGGCGGCGGCCACGGCGAGCTGACCAGGCCGGAGTTGGCCGGGAGGGGAGGATGCGCGCGCGCATCTTCTAGCGCCCTTGGATCTCCTCCCTCGGGCTTCGCTTTTGCGTGAACCACAAAGGCAACCCGCCTCCTCCTGGCTACGACCTCTTTCCCGTTGCCTTGCCTAGCGAGGGAGACTTAATTTGTCAAGCTGGGAAAGGAGAGGAGAAGAGAGGATGTTCGTGGCGACGGGAAATATCTCTGCTTCGCTTTAGAGATGCTGTACTTGCCGCGGATCGTGTTTTCTGCTTTGGCCGGGAAGCTCCTTTTGTCATGTAGAGGCGAGGGGCTACTTGGGAAGCTTGCTTCCTTAGTGAAGCGAAAGACTACAGTCGCCTCCTCGGAGGTGCTTCCTGGTCCTGATGCGCTTTTATGATGCTCTCCCGTCCAGCTGGGCGAGCAGAGTGTCCGCGCTCTGGTTCAGATAAACATTCGCTTTTCGGGGTGATGTGAACTCTGAAACGAAACGGATCCTGGGGGAGGGCTGCAAACATCCGGGCAACCACTAATAGAAATAAATGTTTGTTTGTTTCTTTGCTGTCTTCTGCTGATTATCCCGGTTTCTGCAGTGCAAAACGAAAGGCTGAAATCAGTATTTAATTTGATAATAAATGTGTGTTGTTTGTTTTATGTCAGATCTATTATGGTTTCCTGCCCACCTTCCAGGAAATGCACTCTGCACCTGCTCATATGTATTATTTCATCATGACTTAAGGTGGTGTTTTTCATCTCAACAGTTTTAGATGTGGGTACTTCACATCCTAAAATTCTCCATACATCATGCTTGGGTCCTTGCATGCTGGCTGGGGAATTTGGGGAATTGAAGTCCACACATCTTGAAATTGCTGAGATTAAGAAACACTGACTGAGGGAAAAGCCTTGAAGTTCTGGAAAGATAAAGTTAAGCCTTTCAACAAAGATAACATTCATATTTTTCTGACTTTCTTTTATTGGTTCGATTTTTATTTTTATTGGTTCGATTTTTATATGCCGCCCTTTTCTGGAGACTCAGGGCAGCTTACAGTGCGTTAAGCAATAGCCTTCATACTTTTGTATATACCTGCTTAGTAGGGCTTTCGCCCCTCCCCACAAGCGGTGTTCTTTTTTTTATACAAAGTCAGCTTATTGCCCCCACAATCTGGGTCCTCATTTTACCTACCTCTAAAGGATGGAAGGCTGAGTCAACCTTGAGCCTGGTGAGATTTGAACTTGCAGTAATTGCAGGCAGCTGTTGTTACTTAACAGTGCTTTAGTCTGCTGTGCCACCAAGTTCTTCATCCAGGTTGGATTATAGCTCTCATCATTCCCAGCTAGGCATCCTGGCTACTGTTCAGCATATATACAGGGACCTAAATTGAGGAAAATGTGTTTCATTGAAAACATTTTAACCAAGTAAACTGCAATAAATGAAGAGGCAAAGAAAGGAAAAAATATATCTCCTTGTTGAAGTTTGCATGGATTGCTTTTGTGCAGTTTGATTATAGATTCATTCCATACTGTGATTTGCACAAAACACTGGATTACATATTCTTCCCCCTCCATCCCCTTCCTTCCTTCCTTCCTTCCTTCCTTCCTTCCTTCCTTCCTTCCTTTCTTCGCTCCCTGACTCCCAGCACCCCTGTTTCTGAAACTGGTTGGGTTTATAAATTCCCCATTCATAAAATAGAGTGAAGACTCACCCCAATTTTACATATTTGGCAAATTCAGCCAGTAGACCTTTAATTGATCTGGTTAAACCTGTCATACAAACACTGCTCTTGTATACCCTCATTGGCCACTCTGAACATAATAAAATTAGAGAGAAAACCATGCTTTCACGTAGCATTTCTAAATAATGGTATGGAGTAACTCAACAACTTCTAGCAGAGTGAATGGAATTAAACATTAAAAAGTAATGATTTAGAATGAAACAGAAGTGAGGAAATGCTAGAAGGGGAACTTTAGAGAACAATATTGATACATCAACAAGTAGAATTGAAATGCCCAGAAAAAAAATGCCCAGAAAAAAAAAATAAGGCTGCAGATATAGATACTGTAATTGAAGAAAGGATAAAAGATAAATGTAATTTGCTCATGGATTTGCTGTATTTATTTAATGTGTACAGACTGAATTTACTAAGGATTGGGGGGAAATGCATTATTGTTCCCTGTAAAAAAAGAAAGATAGCAAGAGTGAATACAAAAACTGTGAGAAATTAGTTTATTAAGGGTTTGGGAAACATTTTGGGAGAACTTTGACCAAAAGCATATAAGACATGATGGTAATAAAATCTGAGAAGTATAATTATGGTGGCCAGAAAGCTTAGAGAGCAGATTTTTGCTACTCTGCAAAACATTGAGGTAAGAAATAGAGTTTATTGTACACCCAAAAAGCTTATGATAATGTGAATAGGCATGAGATATGGAAATTTTTGCGTTAATATGGAAGTGAAGGTTTGTTGCTGAAAGTGGTAGGAAAAATATATGATGGAACTAAACCAAATTTTATTTTTCAAATTTTATGGGATATGGACTTTGCCTCCCAGAATTCCCAGTCAGCATGAATAAAACTTAATGAACAACTAAAGCATGAAAAAGTGGAATCTTCAGGAAATGGTTCAACACTGAGTTGGAAGTCAAACAATTGATCTGCAATGTCCAGTTGGTTTACTACATTTATGAATAAATGTACTTTATGATTGTGAACTTTTGTATGCACATAATGTAGTGCTCTTGGCTGAACCTGAATTACCTGCCATGAGTATTAAGTAGACTGTAAGATGCCACAAGGAGTGTGTGGGGAGGAGATAGGCAAATCTACCTTAATTTTGTGAATGTGACCACAAGGCTACAGTAGTGGCCATAACCAAAACTGAGTTGTAAGTAGCTATTTTGGGCGGTGGGAGTGTCTGTCATAATTTTGAATGTTAACTTCAAGTGGTCAGTAAGCAAATAGTCATAAGTCAGGAACTACCACTAAATGAAGCAGTTTATGGATATAACAAAAGGGTGGATAGTTTTCCAGGGCAGAAAGATACAGTAAGGTACAAAGGATGATAGTGGTAGAAATGAGATGTGCTGTTTTTCCTTTTTTCTGTTTTCCGCTTGTTCTTTCCTTTCTGTTGGTTAGTTTGCTTGCCCTTTCTCTTTAAACTTTCTCTTCCTCTAAATAGCTTGTATTGCCCATCCATCTTCTCGTTTTCTTAATCTTGTTTGGTTTATAACTAACTTTGTTTAGAAGCTCAAGCTGCCTAGACTCATCTTGAGAAGATGGGCACCATAGAAGTTCAGTAGTACATTATGCTTGGTACTCTACCTCCATCTTTTCTATCATAAAGGCAACACTTTTCGAGAGTTGAACTTCTCTCTCTCAGTCAGAGACAGTCTTACTGTCTGTCAGTTTCTGTCAGTCTCTGATTGAGGCAGAGAAGTTCAATTCTCCAAAAGTGTTGCATTAATGAGAGAAAAGATGGAGGTTAGAGTACCAAGCATAATGTTATAGTGTCATTCCCAGCTCTCCCCATTGCCTTTCTCAGGGGCCAATTTTATTTTTTGATCTGGTCCTTAAATAGAGCATGAGACTAACAGAGATTGGAGATGGGGAATATTGGCCCAAGAGGATTGGGTTACCTTGTCTTATGGCATCTTGGGCTTCTCTGTGGGGGCTTCTACATTTTGGAATGCCTCCCCCACCTGACATGTGTAAATTGGTATAAATTACATTTTTTAAAATATCTCTTGAAAGTCATATCCAGGACATCCTTGTATAAATGGTTCTTTTTGCCCTACTAAATGGTTTTCAGTTTTTATTTATATATACAATAATTTGTGCACTTGCAAGATTTCTTGGCCACCCTCCCTGAACCAGTCTCCCTAAATTGCAGGGTATGGTAATCTGAAGCATTTCTGTCCTGTCAATATATATTGGATGGACATTTTCCAACCGATGCAGATAGTCTCAAAGATAGACTCAAACTGTAAAAGACCCTTTAGGTGGTGGCCAGCACCTTGAATTGAGCTAGTGGTTGCTGAAATTAAATATTATTTAATTTGTTGTATATGTGCCAGGGTGGATTTGATTTAAATCGAGTTTATTTAAATCACAACTTAAATCATGATTTAAATCACTAGTAAAAAGGCTTGATTTAAATCAACTCGATTTAAATCATAATTTTTAAAGAGCAACTGTCATCTCTGCTACTCCTTTGACCCACTGTTGACTCACCGATAGTCCCAGTGTTGCAGAATATACAGCCTCATGCTACATAACTAAGCTCCATTTCATGCTGAATAAACTAAATTATTTATGTATCTTAAATAGAAAACTATCTTACGATAGATTTTTACCCCAAAAGTTTTTTATTAAAATAAATTCGATAAAAATAAAAAAAATCCGATTTAAATCAAAAAAATCTGATTTTTTTGATTTTTTAAAAAAAATCATTGATTTTTATCCACCCTGATATGTGCTTACATTATTATTTTAAACTGCAAAACATTTTAGGATGAGATTGCAGGGGAGAGAATGCAACAATCTATTCAAATACTGTACCAACACAGCAGGATGAATGATGAAGATATCTGAGCTGCATCTGTAAACCCATTAAAGAAGGCATAAGCAAATAGTATACACATCATTTGAGTTGTACTTGCATCTGAGTCATGCTGCTTCAAAGCTTTGCTTAACTGTCCTGCTTGTGCATTGCTTTTTTCCTGCTTATAGTACAACATTTGAAGGGAAACTGTGATTGCATTATTTTGCTAAACTATGGATTAGTTAACCAGGGCTTTCTGGATAAATTGGCCAAATTCATAAAGCTGCAAAGCTGCAAAGCATAATTGCTTAACTGGCTTCAACACACAATAAAACGGGAGTCCCCAACTGGGTTTTTTTTAAAAAAAACTTCTAATTGTACCATTTCATTTTTGCATTTTTCAATTTTGGGATGGTTTAGGTAAAATAGATGAGGTAGATTGCAGTGGTTAATTGGAGCATAAGAAGCAGCCTTCTCCCAAGTCAGCCTATTAGTTCATCCTACCCCTTATTACGTATCAGTTGGCTGCAGCTTTCTACAGTCTGAAGCAAGAGGTCATTCATTTAATAGGCTATCTAGTTTTTAATGAGATGGCCAAGAAGATCTTCTGCCTGCAAGGCATGTGTGTTGCTATTAGCCCCTCGTCCACTGTTTTTGTTGCTTGCAATTTCATTTCAGCCAATGCTTTACAAAGAGGTCATGTTGTTTGTGGTAACCTGTAATCTTGGCTGCCAAAATCCAGGATGACCAGTAGGTAGCAGAGGAGAGCTCTTTGATAGAATTTAGGGGATGGCTTGAGTCTTAAACCTCAGATCTGGTAACTATAGTCTTAATAAAAAAACAGCGTGGAAATTATGTTGGAAATTATCTGTGTCAAACTCAGGACTTTTTAAAATTAGAACTCTCCATCATAATGGAAAGAGTGAGGCTACAAAATTCCTGGATGTCTAGTTATATATTATAAATTTGTCTCTGGTGGCCATGAATATCTACGTAGGTGTGGGCTATTATGTACGTATTTGATTGTCCTGTGAAATTAAGTTTGCAGTTACTTTTTTCTGTAGCAATGTGCCTGATGGATTTGTTAGATCAAGATATATGTTGAGTATTTTACATATTCCAGGAACAGAGTTCCATGGACCCTGTGATGGAATGAAATTAAAATTTACAGAGGAATAATTTCCCCAAAGATCTTCCCACTGTCATCCTGAATGGCAATGAGCTTTTTTCCCTTCACATATCTGGAGAGCTTGGATTGTTGGCCGAAAACATGGCCTTTTCCACCTTGTTTCCACAAACTCTTCACATTATCCTTCCCAGTTAGGTAGAGGTGAAATAAGTAGATGGAAGAGGGAGCTGTAAAAAGCAACCCTCACTACCTTTATTTTTCACATAGGATGATTATATTAGAAGGTACAGTTCAGTGACTAATGGCAGAGGAATTCTGCCTAAAACTGCTGCATTTGCAGCAACTATAAGAAGAAGTGCTTATTTTAACAAGGTTGGGATTTTTTTTTCCTGTGCAACATCCTAATTTTCCAAATGGGATCAAACTAGGATGATACTATCTGAGCATGGGGTGGAATCTGGCCGAGCTTTCGGGGCTTTGAAGTTAAGTAGGGTTTACTTGAATGGGGTGCCACTTGGGAATTCCAGGGTTAAAGGTTTCAGTGGAAAGATGAAAAACATTATTGGCGGTGGTGCACTCCTTCCACATTGTTGCAAAATATATATATATATCTAAAACCTATGTGAATATATTCATAAATAGATAGATAGATATCAAGTTTGAATCAAAAGAAATTTAAAATGGTCATCTTATCTCAAGCAGAATATGTTAGTATGGATAGCAAGTATTGTGCTCAGCTTCAAAACCTTGCTAACGCAACATTAAAAGATAATACAGGTAGTCTTGACTTACGAGTAGTTGCTTAGCAACCAGTTGAAGTTTTGACAGATCCCCTCCTGCTGCAAAGGGCCCAGCTTTGAGGATCCAATGTTGGGATCCTGCCACGATCATGTGACCACATTTTGCTGCTCAGCAAAAGGCCCCATATTTATGGCTGTTTGCAACACCCTAGGATCAAGAGACGGTGGTTTATGATATTTTTGCCAGAAACCAGCATTTATTTCTGATTTCTGGGGAAAAAAATCCCATAATAAACAGTGGGCTCATTTAATGACTAAGATGCTTGTTTTATGACTGTCACGACTTAAGTCAGCGTTTACTAGATTCAGTTAGGGTTGTAACTATGTATAATGCCGGCAATTTAACTACAGGTAATCCTCATTTAGAAACCACAACTGGGACCGGCAACTTGGTTGTTAAGTGAAGTGTTGAAACTGTAACCATGTTTATGATCTTACTTCAGCTTTCCTTTGTTTTACAGACCAGCAAAAGTCATGAATGTGAGGATTAATTGCAAAGACACTTTTTCATCACCATTATAACTATGAATGGTCTCTAAACGGGGCGGTTGCTAAACAAAAAGTACCTGTACAAATTATTTATCAGCCTTTCCTGACTTGGCACCCTTCCAATGTGTGGGGAGAATAAATTACAATAAGATTGGGGAAGGCCAGATTTCATGAAAATTTTCTCTCATGGAATAAATGTAGACTTACCTAAAATCCTTGATGCTCTAGGAATTATACACACTATGACTCCAGCAGAGAAAATTCAGAGAAATACATTAAGTTATTGAACTTTCCTACATGAGTTGCTTACAATTACCTGATAAATATCTTAGCTTGACAGTCAGTGCTGGTGTTGTTGTCTCATCACAAGATAGCCATCAGTGCAATGACTTATGGACAAGAGTGCACAATAGTATTATTGTTATTCAACCTCTGTTCACAACTGCCACACTTTACATGTCCAGCTGTAGTGCATACAGCATTCTAAACTGAAAACCAGGGTAAACAGAATTTAATTACTATGTTCCCATAAGCATGCTATAGCCAAACCAAAGGAATTATATATTATGACTCACAATCAAATTCACACACTATGTTAATACAGCGAGTGGCCAACAACATGATGAATCATAGACTGCCCAATCCCATTTCCACATAGTTTACTGTAATGTGTTGTGCAGATTTAACTGATGAGAAGGCTGAGACATGAAAACAAATGTGCAGAACTTTCTTGCTTCACTTCATAAACTTCTTCACAGCATGTGGTTTTCTTAAAGTTCTGGCCAATTATCTCAAATGGGTTTAATCAGCTATAGGAAGGAGTAGAGGTTTTTTTTCCCCTTCTCCAACAACTGTGGTAAGCACTTGTGACACCCCACTCTGTGCTCTATAGTGACACGGGTGAAGAATACCCTGTTGAAAAAGATAATATTAAGCAGATGGGGAAAAAGGCTCTTCAAGATGATCAGGATCAATAGTCAATCCAGAGGCACAGCTGGCACAGCAGAAAAGGATAAAGTGATGCAGAAGCATAGAGGTCAACAAATGGTACAGTTCTTTCATACTATGCAAAATGGACAGCTCAATATCCTTTGAGTTGCAGCTATTTCTAGGTGAGCAGATAAGAAACTGAATCTTGAAGGCAAGGACTTAAGAAACAAATATTTATATGGGCATGCTTTTGCAAGGGGTGCTTGTCCTTACCCAGAGATGGATTATCCAAGGTCCTTCAACACCCCCTTTGTAGTCCAAAACACCATCATGCCAGCATTTTGATGAAATGCCATGAATTTGGATAGCATTTTCCAGGACAACATGGTGCCTTAACACTTGCAGAGGGGTCAAGGCTGTCATTTCATATTCCCCCCTCCCAAATCTTATCTCCCTCCCAAATGGGCTGATTTTTCCCATCAGGGAAAGTTAATGGACAAAACTCTTAAATATTCCCCTACCTGCACCCCCAAAATAGTTTTAAAAATGTTTCTGCTTATTCCAGTCAGATCATTACAGGACTAGTGGTTAAAAGCACCAGGATAAATGCCAGGAGACTTGTGAATTCTAGTCCCACTTTAGGCATGAAAGCCAGGTAGGTTACCCCGGATCAGTCAATCTCTCTCAGACCAACTCATCTCACAGGGTTCTTGTGAGAAAAATACGAAGAGGAATGAGTATGAGGTCTGTTTGCTGTCTTGAGTTATTTATATAAATAAAGGGAAATATATATTAATTTACATCCCCTATGGACCTCCAAAGCCAAAGAAAAAGACAGACAGCCTCTAAGTGCAACAAGTCATTTATTTCTGCACACAATGGTTTGCAAGTGACAATGGCTGACTTTACTTAAGATGGTAAATCAAAATAAAACCAATCTCATTGTGGCTTAACGTAGCTGGTGTGCCCAGCCTGGGATAGCTTTAAATCCAGCAGAATTTATTTCCATGTAGCTGGGTGCGCATTGAATGCAGCCTACTTATTAGACAGTATGTCTATTGCAATTTGCATTGCTTTCATCAGATTGTTCAGTAAATATATACTGAGAGTGGGAAATGTCTTTTGGATCAGTAGATGATGCTTAACTTACCAAATTACAGGGGTCCAACATTGAAAAGGAAACTATTTTCCCCCTCAATGATAAAAAAGTGCAGTTTTTGGAAAGTGTGCTCATGTTAACTGAGGAACACAGGTTGATCAATAATGGCTGCACATGTTTAGTGCAGAGCAAAACATTGCCTGCCAATGTGCTTTGTCTAAAGATTTGTGGACTACCCTGTTTTCCAATTTGGCTAGAGAAAAACTGGAATATTTCACTGTTTTATTTTAAATTAACAGCATTTTTTACTAATCCATACATTGAAATTAACTCTGCTGGGTTTTGTTGCATAAGCCAATCCATGAAGCAGGCTTGTTATGATATTGATAATACTAGATGAAGAATAGAAAGGTTTTGATGGGTAGGAGTGCAGGGGTAGACTTTGACAGTGGTTTAGACTAATACTTCTCAAACTCAGTAACTTTAAGAAGCAGAATTCTGGGAGCTGAAATCCACACTTCTTAAAGTTGCTCAGGGTTGAGAACCACTGTTTGAGATGAAAGCCTCGTTGGCCCAGGATTCCTTTACATGATAGGATTATATGAGATGCTTCTGGGAGAGTCATGAAATTGCATGTTTGCATTAAGCTTTTTGATACCTGCAAATGTGGAACGTATTTATGTAGTTGTGAATTCAGATGACTTTACCCATTTTTAATTCAGATCTCTCTCTCCACAATTATGTGACTGTCTTCTGATCACTTCCATCCTTTCTTTCAGTTTGGGTCAATTTGTCTTTTTCTACCAACCATTATTAATAATTGCTCCAAACAGCAGAGGCAATGAAGCCATACTATAACCAAATTAGAGATCATTCTCTCTGTAATTGAGTTTAGAAAGCACGCATTTTAACATACTTTAAAACTGTCAAGAAAACAGTGTTGTCTTTTCTTTGATTCCAGGCATTCTGTTGGTGTGGAAATTATAGCTGTTGAAGGTGGATTGAACACGTGGATCTGTAGGTAGTGAGCAAGAAACATACCATGCCCGTCCTATCTGAAGATTCAGGTATTAGAATTTCTGCTATCTTAATCATGATATCATTCTTGGTTTATGTTTTAGAAAATGTGCTTTTCTATAATGATCTTACATGGAACTGGAGGTCTAGAAGGCTTTAAAGATAAGCCAGTTTCTAGTGCTATTTATTTACTGATCTAAACTCATGCAGTAGTTTATAATCAGTTGATAATAAAAAAACAAAGCTACTGTGTCAACAACAAAAGGAAACTGAAACTCAGTAAACCAATGTAAAATGTGAAAAAACAAAACAAAAAGCGGTACCCTTTGGCCATTTCTTTTTCAGATTATAAATCAGTTTCCCCTGATCTGGTGACCCAATTTAGTACAACTAAATTGTCCCAATTTAGTACAACTAAATTGGGACAGAATTCCCAATGGATGTTTGGAAGATGTAGTCACTCAAAATATATCAGATTTAAAGTTGTTATAGTCTTGGAAAGAGGGGTTATAGTAATTGACAAGGTGGCCACATCTACCATGCTACTAGTGTTTTTCAAACTTGGCACTTTAAAATGTGTGAACTTTAACCCCCAGAATTCTGCAGCCAGCCAAACTGGTTTGGGAATTCTGGGAGCTTGAGGTCCACAGATCTTGAAATTCTCAAGTTTGGAAAACTCTCATCAGATGGTAACTTCCAAGGTAAAATAAATATAATCAATTGATTTTGTTTTATGTGCTTCACTTTTTTATACCATATTTTAAGATGTTTATATTTTGGAAGCTATGGCATTGCATGGGATCAAGACAGTGATGGGTCCAGCCCAGAAGTTACTAATACCTATTCTAAGAACAGTGAAGTTCTGCCTTTCTCTTGACTCCAGTTTGCTTTTCCAGCTGATGTCCGGCATTCAAGGAGGTACACGGTGCTTAAGGCTGGTTCTCCTTGAGATAAGTCACTCCCATTGTAAGAAGCCATTTGCATAGATTTGGAATAGTTTTCAACCAATCCTTCCTTTTTTCCCCTTATCTGTCCCATTTTGACTCTGATCCTTCTGGTGTGGCGCTCTGAACTTACATATACAAAAAATGGTGTATAAGTAAAGATAATCAGATAAGTGAAGCAGCTGGAATTGGTTGCTAAAAGCAATCTTATATTCTGTGGAATAAATAAAAAATGCACAATCTACAAAGAAAAGGATTCTTGAAAGCCTTGATACCAAAATAATAGTAGAACATCCTAGGCAATTTTCCTGAAGAGATGGAATTCTAAGAATAGGCCTCAGGATGGAAAGTACCTTTTCTATCATCCATGTTGTTTGGCTTATGGGAGAGAAAAAAAAGACAGAGAACAACCTAGCATCAGACTTGGACAGTCTTGTCCAATAAATTAAAATTTGGATTTTGAACTGGAACTGGAACCTCCATCAGAAATGTGAAAAGTAAACTTTAAGGAATTCTGGGAGTTGAAGTCCAGACATTTTAAAGTTGAAAGTTTGAGAGACACTGCTTTAAGGGATTTCTTTCTTCCAATTTTCTGGCTTTAAGCTGATATTTCAAAGTAATATTGTGAAGTCCTTCTTTGGGACAGATAAAGCTTCTGTAAAATGCTATTTTACAATTTGATCATGGGCATTCTGACCAGTCCCTTTTATATTGATCCTTTAGGTTTGCATGAGACGCTTGCCCTCCTGACCTCACAGCTGAGGCCTGACTCCAATCATAAGGAGGAGATGGTATTCCTGAGAGACATTTTTAGTGAGAGAAGCCTCAGCTGCTTAATGAAAGTAAATATTTTTCTGTAGAGAAAATCTTTCTGTTAGCTTCCTAGTTTTCCTCTTTGCCTGATATTCAAACTTGGGGCTCAAAACTGAACATTGTGATGTGTGAATATGCTGCAGAGCATGTTTCTGAGCACACATAAAGTTTTGTAAATACCCACAACATGCATTCCATAGTTCCTCAAAGGCTTGGCATTCTTTGAGTTTTCACTCAGGCCGTGGCCTTTTGTTGGCTTATTAATAGTAAAGATTTTACATAATTTAGGGTCGAGCGGTGTAATAAGAAAGTGGTGGAAACTAAGACTGCCAGAATCTATCAGACTTTTAGAATATGGTGGTGTATTTTCTTAGTGGCCTATTGACCATAATAAGCAGAATCTGGGATAGTGGTGATAAGGCTCAAGATGGCAGCGGGGACTTTGCAGTTAAAGCCCTCATATGATGCTCAAGCACTCAATTGAGCATCATGTGAGTGCACATACAGAAGAGCTGGGCCTCAATTATATTGTTGTCACGATCTATTTGTGGGGTGGTTTTTTTTATTACCCCTATCCCATCCCTGGGGAAGCTTCTGATGACCCCTGGAGAAACAGCTTTAGTTGGTCTAAAGCTCTTCTGATGTTCTTAGGATGTAATCAGTGAAAGATGAATAATGCAAACCTTTCCACTTCACAACATACAATTTCCTGCTTGAATGCACAAGTGATTTTATGCATTGGATTTGGAAATATTTGGAAAACAAAACATGTTTGGTTTCTTATGACCATGAATGGTAAATAACATTTTCTAAAGAGATGAGAAATTGAAATGATTTACAACAGCATCGACAAGTTACCAAAAAAAAAAAAAAAAGATGGAAGAAACCAATTTGGAAAGTTCTTCTTAAATAAAAGGCTATGGCTATTTAACTTTTCTTGTAAAATAAGAATACTTAATCCAATCTGATTGAAACTTGACAACCTCAATACTTGCTGGTGTTTTTACGCCACACGCATGATAGAATTGCTGAAAATAACCTGTCAATTGGGTGGAAAACACTTTAAGTTGTAGGCATAGAAAGCTGGTTTTTAATTGAAAATAGTGAAACTTGAGCTCCTGAAAACAAATGCATAATTAATGAATGAAAAGGAAAATGCAATTGAGAGGAATGAAACATTAAGAGAAACTAGTCAGTTGCTTTTTTTCTTATCATTCCTCTGGTTCTAATCGCATAGATGTTTTGTTAGCATATCAGATGGAATGAATGAAAGTTTATCAGTGAAATAATTCCTGATTTAAAGGTGCTAATTAAATGGACGGTTTAATGGTTAATGGGAGGAGGGGATGTCTATTAAGTGAGAGTGTCTGTTAAATCCAGGTGGGCCTTTATGCATGTGTGTTTCATGTATTTTATACATTTTACACATATATAAACTGCCATGTATATAGGTAGTCATCAACTAGAACTTACAATTATGTCTGAAAGTCATCATGTTTGTTAATTGTGCCATCACATGACACACTCTATTTTACAACCTTTTTTGCAGCGGTGGTTAAGTGAATGAGGTGGTGGTGATAAAGAGAACCCTGTAAATGTGGGCCAGTTGCTGAGTTTTGAAAATCTGGGCATGTGGCTATAGGGCAGAGGTCTTCAAACTTGGCAGCTTTAAGACTTGTGGACTTCAACTCCCAGAATTCTCTGGCCAGCTATGCTATGCTGGTGAATTCTGGGAGTTGAAGTCCACAAGTCTTAAAGCTGCCAAGTTTGAGGACCCCTCCTATAGGGGATGGGTGGCCATCGGAACTTTTTCAGGATCTGTCATAATTTTGTAAGGTGGCTAAGCCACCAGTCGTAAACCAAGGAATATCTGTATATAAAATGACTACCAGGATTTTATGCATGTGGACCAGCATGCAGTATGCCTCAATTTTGTCTGTTATGGCCAAGTTTGCTAAACAAGCTCTGTAAAATCAAAAGTTCACTGAAGTTGTTTACAAGGCTGTTACATTGCTGAAGAACTTTTAACTGTTTCATGGAAATGAATCTACTTGTAAAAGTGTTTTTTTTTTTAAAAAAAACCAAACACACTGAATCTCTTTGAAATAAGCTTGATAAGCTTGCATTCAGGGTCTTTGCTCACACTTTGAAAGGAAAGAAAAACTAGAACATATAGATTTTGTTTGTTAATATTATTTTTTGATAACATGGTCTACAAAGCTCTCTGCAGAAGTTGGGGGACTGTATTTTCAGTTAATAACAATGGACAGAAACATTTTTGGAGGGAACAGTGAATTCAAAAGAAATATAAGTACACGAATTCTGTTTCTGAAGCATCAATGCCTTATGTTGATATTTATACTGTACCAGCAGTGCATAGTTCTCCTTTAAGAAATTTATAATTCTTTGGGATGGGTTATGGGTGATGTATTGTTACAGGAGATGTTGATTTTTTCAAACAGTCAAATTTGGAACTGGAAAATATGCTGTGGGTTTCCTGCAAAACAGTAATCATCGCATGGGATCAAGTCCATTCACAAGATAATTGCCATAGTGCAGGTTGTGGTCAATCAGAGAATATCCAAAAGGCAACTTGTTGTGTCTCAACACTGATCAGTTTGGCTAAGAAATTTTGTGCAATCTTCTGGGGACTATTGTATACTATACCAACAGTGCATAGTTCTTACAATTCTTTGTATAGTCCCCAGAAGCCAAATTATGTATTTGTTCCTCCGTAAAACAAAATATTAATTTCATGGCATGCCCGAGAAATGCTCAGTGAAAAGACTGAGGGACTCGTGAGAAACCAAACAGTGTAGTATGTAGAGTTCAAGGAATGTAATCAATATTCAAAGAATAGAACTAAAATGGGATTGGCAAAATGCTTGATCAAATGTTTAGCTCCTTGATTAGCATATATAAGATTACAGTCTGGTAGAAATTCTGGGAACTTTGACACATAATCCTTTTAATGAGGAGTCGAGGTACACAACCTTTTGTACAGATGTTTTCAGGTGGTTGCAGTTCAGAAAGTAGTCACAGCCCGGAATGAGAATTTCATTTGAGTGAATTTTAAGTGGATACAGCATTTTTTTAAGCCTAACTAAAATTAAATACAATTAATTAACCAATTTGTATTAAAATTACATTATAATTCTACATTGTATTTTAATTACAATTATATATTATTATATATACAGTATTACAGTTATTATTCCATATTATTTATTGGCCTAAACTGAATTAATAAAGAATTCAAAACCATTAATATACAATTCCTTATAATATGTTACTAATTTTTCTGTATTACTTTTAAAAATCTCAAATAAATAAATACATGGTAACTCCTAACTCATGGAGAAACTCTGGGGCACTGGAGGATTGTTCATAAAATCTTTGGCTTTGGGGACAGAATATGGTTTTTCTTGTTTTCAAAGAGGCACTGAGTCATAGAGACGGGATCCCCTCTCCCACTCCCATAACTTCTGGCCAGCCTGGCATCTGCTGCTTTCCCACCTAAAGAGTTTTGCAGTCCTGCCATCTCATCCCGCAAGAATCCTGTGCTATGAAAATAAAAATTGCAAGAGCCATCAGGCAGCAGATGCTGCTGTAGCCACACAGATTTAAAAAAAAACAAAAAACTGTTATGTTCTAGCCAGCATATAGATTCTCAAAACTGATTGTCTGAGATTAAAATGAGAAATTGAAGCAAGCTTTTCTTTTCCACAGTCTCACATGTTGGATATTTCATTTGATTGAAATAAATCATTGTCTTGAAAGGATCTGTTTCTTAGATAGCTCTAACCACTGGATGTTTTGTACGTGTGTACATGTGTATATTGTCTGTTCTCTGTTTCAGATTCATGAAAAATTGTGCCATTATGAACAACACAGTCCAGTCCCAGTACTGCATAGTGCCTCTGCTCTCGCTGAAGATGTAAGTTCATCTGGGAAAGGGCAAAGGGACGGAAACAGAATGAAGAGTTGTCTTTAATTTGCCATTTTTTCTCTGAACTCTGATTTTCATTGAAGTGTTCGCCGAGGCTGAAAAACATTGCTTTAGATGACAGCTGTGGGGTTGCAGGATGAAAGATTTGGTGGGGATTCTTTTCACATCAAATGGGAGAAGGGCTTCTCTGGATCACTTTGCCTTAATATTAGGGCTGAAGGAAATTGCTGGATTGCACAATTTAGAATTGAGGAACTGATGCATAGATAGGTTTAGACTCACTCTCTCCGCTGTTTATCAGTTTTGAACTGCTTCCACAAAATGGCCTATTCTGAATTGTTAGTGAGATAGCATTGGCTGTGGAGGAATTCTCAGAAATTATAGCGCATCCATTATATTCTTCTTCACTCTTTCTTTGTGAGGGATTTTAACTCAGCATTAGAAAATATTCTGCATTTTCAGAAAATATCAGCATGCTGCTTTCTTCAGCAAGGCTGAACATGATGTTGCCAGTCAGGAAGTAAATCCAGACATTGCCATTTTCTTTTTTTTTTGACTGGATGACTATCTTGAAATTCTGAGACCATGTTGTGGGTAATGCTCTCACAACATGCCTGGAAGTATGGAAGACTTTGTCTCCCCACAAAAAAGGTTTTCCTAGGGAAAGTGACTGGTCTAAACAAGCATGAATCAAAAGACAAACTAGTGAGACTGCTCTCAGTTGTCCTTTATGGATCTCAAGGATGAACTCAACCACCTTCAGTTCACTTATGCCTTTTTCTAGGCAGAGGAACATTGGGCTGCCATCACCCACCCATGAAGCAAAGCGCTGGGTTTAATGGTGGAATGTAGTCTGGATTCCCAGGAAGAAAGGAGGGCATTCCAGAGGAGCAAAAGGCAGAGAAGTTTAGATAGTTTGTGTGGGAGAGAGTTAAAACAGCTTTTCCTTAGGTGTTCTCAGAGTATATGTTTAATGGAGTAAGTAATCTTCTTTAGTTTGGCAAGATTTCTGTCTGTAAATGAGTGACAATAAAGGAAACTGCTTAGAACAAGGGTGTCAAACTCAAGGTGCTTAGATGTGGCCTGCTGGGCCACCCTGGAAACAGTGAAGGACTGGCCCATGGTGCCTCTGCCAGTGAAAACAGAACTCGGAAGGGCTGCGTGTGGCCCACTGAGCTCTGTTTTCACTGGCAGAGAGCTGCAGGAGCCTGTTGCGGTTGAAAACATTGAGCTGGCCACACCCACCCTGGCCGTGCCCCCCAGCCCCCTCCTCCCGAGGTCAAACACAACCTTGATGCAGCCCTCAATGAAATCAAGTTTGACACCTCTGGCCAGTGGTGGGTTGCTACTGGTTCGTCTGATCCCTGGATTGGGTGAACCTGTAGCGGTGGCAGTGGGAGGCTCTGCCCATCCTCCCGGGCTGTGCAGAAGCATCACATGTGTGTGTGCGAGCACGCCTGTGAGCAAACCGGTAGCGACAGGTTTTGAAAGGCGCCCCTGCCCCTGACTTAGAAGAACCCCAGTATGTCATTCTTGGTTTTTGGACTTTGGCATTCTTAGAATATCAGTGAAACATTTATAAATGGAGATTGCTGGAAGTAATTGCTTTATTGCAGTAGGCCTGCTTCCAATATTTGGTACAAGTCAGCTCTATTGTGTTTCTCTGGTCCTTTTTAATTCTATGTATGTTTATAGGATGATATGAGGATTGGACTTGAAAACATCCCAGGTCCTTTTTAACTCTGTTTTTCTGTAATTCTGATACATTCTAGGACTTCTGCTCTGGACATACGTCCTTTTCTAGAGTGTGATCCTAAAATTAGCAAACAAATCACTGAAAGTAAGATCAGAAAAGCATTTGTTGTCTTGTCTGTTTTGTTTGTGTGTGAATTTCTCTCTTTTCCTCTCTCTTTTTTCTTATTCTTTTTGTTAAGGTGATGGAAGAATTGCAGACTGCACCGATGAATAATGATGAAAAGGAACTGCTTCAGCTGCTCTCAACTCCTCATCTCAGGGTAAAAAGCTTTTCTTATCTGTAGCTCAAGGAAGGGCTGCTGGTGCAAGCATTCAGGTCCTTTGGGTATTAAGAGTGGGAACTGTGGCTTTAGTCATCTTTTTATCCGTGTTAGACATTTGCCATCACTTAACATGTAACAGGCGAAAACTGATTCCTGCTGCACAATTTCACAGGATTTTCAGAAGATTTTTTTTAATCCTCTTCCTGCTGTGAGGATGGCATTCCTAGTAAGTGAGAACGGATTAAGAATAAAATGTTTACAGTATTCAGCCATAAAGAAATTGATTGGAATTAATATTTGGCCCATAGTATGGGCATCAGAGGACTGGTTGAGAATGATAATTATGCTTGTAGTAGGGGGTGTGAGAAAGAGACTAAGTTTTAAATTCCAGATTACAGGTAGTCCTCAATTTACAACCATTCATTTAGTGACTGGTTCAAGGTTGCAATAGCACTGAAAAAAGTGACTTATGATCATTTTTCACAATTATGACCATTGTAGCATCCCCATGATCACATGATCAAAATTCTGACCCTTGGCAACTAACATATATTTATGATGGTTGTAATATGTAGGGGTCATGTAATTGGGACCCTCTGACAAGCAAAATCAGTGGGGAGGCCAGCTTCACTTAACAACATAAACAACTGCAGTGATTCACTTAACAACTGTGGCAAGAAGTCATAAAATGGGGCAAAACTTACTGTATTTTTCGGAGTATAAGATGCACCTACCTTTTTTGATTTTTTTTTTTAAAGCTTTTTAAAATTTTTTAGACAAACACACATACAAACATATAATGTTTTTCTTTGAACAGAGTATATGGCTGGTTCACAAATTTAAAAACAGTGTTTAGTCATTTCAATTAAATTTACAATTTTCCTTTTTGCCATATTTATTCTTCATCTATTTTTTTTAAAAAAAACCCAATATTACCCTTCATCCTCATCTCTAATCTTAATCAAATTCAATTTTTCCCTTCTATTCTATATTATACCCCTTCCCATTGTCATCTATTTATATATCCATCCTCACATTGATTATGTAATTATCATAGTCAATGTGGGTTAATTATGTAATATTACAATTGTTTAATACAAATTCAACATTTTAATATAAATCAATTAGTTACATAACTATCTTTTTTTGTATATTAATCAATATGAACACGAATATTCCAATTATTTCCATGCAATCCAATTTCTTACAAATCAATTAATTATATTTACCAATAATAATAAACCAAATAATTTTCCCCTCTTATGTTACTCATTTTCACATCTTAAACTCTCCCAAAACCCACATAGTTTTGCCCATATAATCCTCCAAATCACAACTTAATCATTTCTACTTTCATCACAATATATAATTAAAAATATTTCAATCATTACAATTTCCCTAATTAAATTTAAAAATGTTCTAGCTGTTATCCAAGCTATAATTTAATCCTTTTTACTTTCATCCCCATATACCATTAAAGGTATTTCAATTGTTACAGTTTATACTTATTCATATTTCTAAAAAAATAAAAAAATAAAAACTTATCATTGTCTAGATTTCAAAAATACAAAGACAAATATTCCAATTATTATTCATTTCATTTTTACAATCATGATTTCCCATTTATTTCTTATTACTATTCATATTTTAATTCTAAATATGTATAACATTTTTCTCTTTCATTTCTTTTATTTTTCTCCCTTCCCATTTTTATTTTTGCCTTTTTCTTTCTCCTTTTTTTCTTTTGCGTTTTAAAATCTTGAACTCTCCTCTTTTGCCCTAAATTTCCCATTGTTTGCAGCTACTTCTTCTTTCAGGAAAAAGAAGAAAAAAAAATCTCCCTCTGCCTCTGCCTAATTTTGCCTTTACTTTACTTTACTGAAAGCTTTACTTTCAGTTTTGCTTTCAGCATAGCTTTATTAGCACAAGGGGAAAAAAAAAATCTGCTCCAGCAATTTATCTCCTTGCAGCAAGCAGCAGAGCCTTGCACAAAATAGCTGAGAGCAAATCAGCTGAGAGTTGGGAGCCATCCAATCAACTTGTGCTAATTAGTCTATGCTGAAGCTGAAAGGAACTGTTTTTTCTTGCTGTTTGCTTGCAAGGAGGTAACTGCTGTGAGGCACAAGCCAAAGGGTGGGGGCCAGCGGGCGGGTGGGGCTACATTCAGTGTATAAGACGCACCCAGATTTTCACCTCCTTTTGGGGGGGTAAAAAGGTGCGTTTTATACTCAGAAAAATACAGTAACCATTGTCTTGCTTAGCAACAGAAATTTTGGGTTCAGTTGTGGTCATAAGTTGAGGACTACCTCATTTGCATCTTTTTATGGCAGCAGCAAATCAACTGATTTGTATGGTTTCATTCTTAATTTGCTGCCCTGCTCTCTGTGAGATTACTGCCCAGTCTAGTTTAGGCGGATCTAAAAAGTGAAGTATCAGAACATCTTGGATTTACAGTCAAATCCCAGGCAAAGAGCTTCTAAAAGTAATCCATTTTGTATGTTAACACCCCCACTTTAGGAACATTTGGCTTAATTTTAAGGGGTTCAGGGTTTTTAAGGATGCTTTATGCTTTTGTAAGCTGGAAGGCGTCAGTTGCATTCCCCAAACACTTTCCCAACTCTCCAAAATAAAGATGGGACTGAAATGTTCAGCTATACTCACTTTTGGAACATGCAAATGTTGCGATGGGATGGATGAGGGATGTGCCAGTAGGCTCAGTTGCCCATCCCTCCCCAAGGAAACCCAAGACACATGCTGGCTAGGAAATTTGGGGTGTTGAAGTCATACATGTTAAAGTTGCTAAGGTTTTAGCTTGTGGTTGCCTGAAATGGCTGCTTCACTTTGGCTAATAGTAGGACTAGCCATAAGAAGAGAGGAGTAGAGAGCAACCTGTGACTCTGGGCCTGTAGGCCATAGGAGGAAAAATACAATTGGCAGTGCCTGACACCAGAAAGATGACAACATTTATGCAAGGCAAACATTCAGGAGGATGTTTCAGAGAAGAGGTTGACCTTGTCATCATAAAATCTTTGTCCAGCCACCCAGCTATGAGAAGCTCCAGAACCTGGGCAGAGAGTCATGCACTGGGAGCAGGGTTCCCAGATACCAGAATCCATGTGTGGGGCTTAAATGGTGGCTTTCCCTTTTTATGGCACATGACAATGCTTACAAAATAGGCAGGACTGAATTGCAACACTGAATCTGCTATCTTGTCTTTTTGACATCCCCCACCCCCGCCCCATGGTTGCTCCCAAATGTTGGAGGTCTGCCCTATTGATCCATTTATCTGCATTCCTGCTGATTCTCTAGTCATGGGCAAGACAGTATTTAGGAATGTATGACTCCATGCTCAGGCAATAGCTCTCATTTTAAAGCCATTCTGCCTGGGATCCCCCCCCCCTTCTAAAAAAATGTTTTCTAATGCTCCTTAAGGTTAATGGGTAAGTCTATCCTGAATTCTGCAATATAGTTATCCCCTAGGGTTTTTATTCTGTGTCTTTAATATCTTGCATGGTAGAAAAGTAGAATAAAGCTTTTAATAATTTACCCTGCTTCAGAAGATGAATAGGGAAAGGAGGGATGATGGAAACGAAAGCTTTTTTTTAATAAAGCATAAAATGCACTTTGCACGTGCTCAGATGATAGGAATTGAAAGCTGCTAAACTTTGCTTTTTTTTCATCCTTTGCTAACCTGCAATTTTATTTACCTTCCCCTGCAGCCCTGTTGATGTTTATTTAAACTCTTTGCTTCTTAGGTCCAGATTCTTTCTCTGTAACAGAAATAGTTGTTCCCTCTTGTGATCATATTAGAACTTCATTCTCCTACTCTGGAAGGGAATGTCCTTCCCATTAGATTTGAATATTCAGATAATAAACATGGTTTTAATGAGAGTGTTTTAATAACTTTTACTGACTAAGAAACTGAAGACAAAGCATTCAAATTGCAGAGGTCTATTATAAATTCAGAATCTACTAGTTTAAAAGAAAGCCTGTGCACAAAAGAATTGAAAATTAAAAGAGATTACATTTAATACACCCAATGAAGAGTTCTTCTCCACTTGGCTAGGGATGGGAGTAGGTGGCAGACATATGTAATTATGCAGCTGTATTTATCTAAAATATAAAAAGTATATGTTTACATAAGACTCATAAACTGCAAAAATGGGTGTCCTGGAGTCATGAGCCACAGGCAGTCCATGGCATCCTGGGGGATGGGGGTGGTGGGGGGCAGGACCAGCTCCTTTGACCCTTTTCTTTGGCTTTTCGTGCTTTTTAAGAGAAAGGAGGTATTTAAGCCAACTAGTCAGGGAACAGAGAACTATTTCAGGTCATGACAATAGAAGAATTTGAGAAGTCCTGTTAACCAATCTGCTAAAAATAAATGTGGGTTTAAAACCTTGGAACATGTATGCTGAATAGAGAGCGGAAGGTACCTAGATTTTGTAGGAGAAGTTCTTCATCCTAAATGGGGATTATTGCATTTGTAATGAACTTTGCTTAGATATCTAAGCCTGGTTCTAGTTTAACCCTCACAAAGGTGCTTTTTCCCCCTCCCTGAGACAGAAGGATATTATATCACTTCTGAAAATCACTGCCCGAAAATGGCAGTCTGTTTACTGTACCTCTGCCATGAGGCTGGAAGAGCTAGTGCAACACATGTTATTTTCTATGCGGTGAATGAATCTATGGGCTGAAGAAAAGCAGTGCTTTGGGGCAGAGGAGGAGATCCAAAGTTCTGAGCTGTAAAAATGCAGAAAACAACAAGAGTTGAGGTGGCACAGTGGTTAGAGTGCACCACTGCAGGCTACTGACTGCTAGCTGCAGTTTGGCAGCTCAAATCTCACCAGCTCAAGGCTGACTCAACCTTCCATCCTTCCAAGGTGGGTAAAATGAGGACCCAGATGGTTGGGGGCAATATGCTGACTCTGTGAACTATTTAGAGAGGGCTGTAAAACTATGAAGCGGTATATAAGTCTAAATGCTATTGCTATCTCTCG